GTGATCTATGAAATACTAAAAAAAACTTAATTGCTAGTCCCCCATATCAGAGAGCCTGAGAAGCTCAGCACTACACCATCATAATTATTTCTGAACCTGAAATAAACTAGCTTTTCTCCTTCAGTGTTTATAATATCACCTGACAGCAAACATTTTCACTTAAAAGGTTTATAATAGAAGATATATGTCATAACCCACTTTTAAAAAGAAATCACTGTCTTCATTACATAACAAGAATATATAGCAGTACAGTTTGACTTACTTACTTACTTACTTACTTACTTACTTACTTACTTACTTAGGTGATCCCTCCTAGCCTGAGGATGATGGTTCTTCAAGTGTAGTGTCTTGACAGTGGTTCTGTAGGTAGCTGTGGAGCCCTATTCTTGATCTGCATGTTCTCCTGCAGCGAGGACATTGGTTTCTCCCTTTCACCCTCCATTCATGCCTCTTCAAATTCTGCAATACTGCTGGTCACAGCTGACCTCCAGTTAGAGTGCCCAAGGGCCAGGACTTCCCAATTCTCTGTCTATGCCAGTTTTAAGCCTGGCTTTAAGCCCATCTTTAGGTCTCTTTTCCTGTCCACTAGCATTACATTTCCCATTCTTGAGTTGGGAGTATAGTAACTGCTTTGGGAGACAGTGATTGGGCATTCAAACAATGTGGCCAGTCCAGCGGAGTTGATAGCATAGGAGCATTGCTTCAGTGCCAGTGGTCTTTGCTTCTTCCAGCATGCTGACATTTGTCCACCTGTCTTCCCAAGAGATTTGCAGGATTTTTTGGAGGCAATGCTGATGGAATCATTCCAGGAGTTGAGTGGGATGTCTGTAGACAGTCCACGTTTCACAGGCTTATAGCAGGGTTGGGAGAACAATAGCTTTATAAACAAGCACCATGGACTCCCTACAGATGTCCTCTCTGCTTCATTCAGAAAAATGCTACATTCACAGAGCTCAGGCAGTGTTGTATTTTAGTGTCAATGTTGACTTTTGTGGGGAGGTGGCTGCCAAGGTAGCAGAAATGGTCAACATTTTCTAATGTTACACCATTAAGCTGTATTTCTGCCATTGCAGAGGGATTGGCTGGTGCCTGTTGGAAGAGCACTTTGGTTTTCTCGATGTTCAAAGAGAGGCCAAGCTTCTCGTATGCTTCTGCATAGATGTTTAGAGTGATTTGTAGGCCTTCTTCTGAATGTGCACAGACAACATTATCATCAGCATATTGGAGTTCTATAACAGATGTTGTGACCTTGGTTTTGGCTTTCCGTCTGCTGAGGTTAAATAGGTTCTCATCTGTCCAATAGATGATTTCCACTCTGGTGGGAAGCTTCCCATCAACAAGATGAAGTATCATAGTGATGAAGATGGAAAATAAGGTTGGGGCAATAACACATCCCTGTTTGACATTTGATTTCACCTTAAATTGGTCACTTTGGGAGCCATTGCTGTCTAAGACTGTTGCCATCATGTCATTGTGTATCCCTCATCTGAGATCAGAAGGGTTTTGGATTTAAAATCTTTTCATGTGTTGGAATACCAATATTTGCATATATGCATATAATGAAGTATCTTGGATACGTGACCCATGTTAAACAGGAAATTCATGTTTGTTTCATGTATACTTTATACAAATGGCCTGAAGGTCATTTTATATACAATATCCATTTAATGATTTTGTGCATCAAGAAAGTGTGTGCACCTTGAACACACTTGAAAGCATAGGGCTCACAATCTCAGCCACCCTTGAGGACAATTTTGGAATTCCATATTTTGAATAAGGAATATTTTACCTGTACTATTTTTATTGGTGCTTAGAAATACTTAAGCCAAAGGGAGGTGAAAGAAATAGAGGGATAAAGGGGAAAGTAAGCACAACTGCAGAGTGCTTTAAAATTAACACCACAGGAATCATGCCACAAAAGGTCAAGTAATCAAATATCTCTCGTCCATGAAAATTGAACTCTAATCATGTGATTTTAACTTGAGACAGATCTGGCAAAATGCCATTGCTTTGCATAAAACTGAAATTTAACAAGTCATAGGTGTACTACAAATAATCTGTCACGTGTTTATATAGATGTACTTCTATGCACAGTTGTATGGGAGGACATACTTTGCAACACAACTGCATACATTGGAGTTGTAAATCACACAGACTTCCAGATGTTGTAGAACTGCAAGTTCCATCAGCCCTAGCCAGAAGAGTCAGATAAGGAATGCTAGGAGTTGCAGTCCAACAGTATCTGGAGGGCTGCATTTGTGCCCTTTTTCTTTCTTTTTCCAACCTACCACCCTTTAAATTCAAGCCCATACACAAGGGGGTGATTTAGGGGTTCAAACCATCCCCAAAATTTTTCAGATCAAAAAAAGAGAAAAAAAACTGGTTTACTCATGAATTTTAAGTAGCTAACCAAATCCCCCAGATCACGAACTTCTTATTGCTCAATTTACAAATAAATTGCTCTATTTAGAAATAGTGAAGAGTAGAGACATCACACTGGCAACCAAGACCCACATAGTTAAAGCAATGGTATTCCCCATAGTCACCTATGGATGTGAGAGCTGGACCGAGAAGGCTGAGCGAAGGAAGATAGATACTTTTGAACTGTGGTGTTGGAGGAAAATTCTGAGATGCCTTGGACTGCAAGAAGATCCAACCAGTCCATACTTCAGGAAATAGAGCCCAGCTGCTCATTGGAGGGAATGATATTAGAGGCAAAGATGAAGTACTTTGGCCACATAATGAGAAGACAGGAAAGCTTGAAGACAATGATGCTGGGGAAAATTGAAGGAAAAAGGAAGAGGGGCCAACCAAGGGTAAGATGGGTGGTTGGATGCAAAGCAATCTTCAGGAGGAGCCTGAAAACCTGGTTATTCCAATGTGCCTTCAATGATTGAATGTAAGATACTCCCCGACCAAATTTCACACAAAATAGCCTCAGAAGCACTTTATTTCATGGTTCGTGCAATTAAATCGTTCCTCATCCCGGATCCCCCTTCCCAAAAGTTTCCATTGCCCAATCTCCCAGTGTTTTAAAATTTTATCCTTAAATTTGGCCCTGCCCTGTGTAATCCTGTGTGTTTAATGTTCGATTTTATATTGCTGTGTCGCTTATTATATTGGTTTTGTATTTTATGTTTTTTTTATTTTCTAGTTCTGTTATGCCTTTGTGTTATATTGTGCTTACTGTACTGATGGGTGTGGCCTCATGTAAGCCGCCCCGAGTCCCACTGGGGGAGATGGAGCAGGGTATAAATAAAGTTTTATTGTTATTATTATTACCCTTGAAGTGAGTGGCTTGACCTTGAAGGAGCTGGGGGTGGTGATGGCCGACAGGGACCTCTGGCATGGGCTGGTCCATGAAGTCATGAAGAGTCAGCAGTGGCTGAACGAATAAACAACAACAACCAAATCCCCATGCCAAGTCTATGAGAATCAAAAATTAGCATCCCTCCAGAACCGAAGAACTATTTCAACCAAATTTTGATTATTCACATTATCATTAACTACCTTTCTACCAATTTACATTGCAATAGCAGCAATAGCTGAAATAGAGAAATTGACCATAGTGGAAGCCCTGCCAAAGAAACAATGGGACAGGAGCAAAAAGAAGCAGCTATGACATTGAACAAGATTGTTTCTGACGACCAAGTGAAAGCTCAATAAGTGCAAAATCCACAGATTCCATAGCCAGGACATGCTATAAAAAAGAAGAGGCATCTGAAATTTCATGCACAAGGTGCACTTTGTAAGTATGGTGTGGTGTTTGGAGGAGAAGTTGGGGATAAAGGTGGTCATCAGAAGCTTGGTGCATTGATGGCTAAACAATTTGTTCAATGGAAAAATGCAACAGAAATCTTCAATAGACACCAAAAACCTGAGTACCATCAGAACAATTGTGCACTTGGCTGAAAACTTCTTGCTAATCACAGTGGAAAATGTCTTTATGATAAAGGAAATAAGAAGAAAACAGAAACAAACTTTTGCTAATTGTGGAAATTATTGTCATTTGTGGCCGAAAAGCACTAACTTAAAAGAGGGAGCAATGATTCAGGACCTATTACCAGTGAAGGGCCTTTGAAAAATGATAGCAACTTCAGGACCTTGATGAGATCTTCTGCCAGATCAGGTTACACTGGTCTGAAAAGTCATCTCAAAAGGGAAAAGTTTCAACCCCTCCTGAATCTTTTTTCTGGCTACGGGCCTGTCCAGATATATTTGGAATGTAATACCATAGGTAAAATGGAAGCTGCAGTCCAAGACATACACGGACAGGGAAGGGGGATAACGTTCTAGATCAGTTTAATCATTTTTCTAGAAACTGCAACCTAATTTATTAAACATCCTAGTTATTAGAGATGTTTCCAGATATAAAATGTTTACTAAGTTATTATTCTAGAATCTGCCATCAGCACTCTTGGCTGGCAGATATTTGAGAAACAATATGGCCACTGGGGAGACCAGTGGTTATATAATCTCCTTCATTATCCCTTTGTATTGCTCATCACACAACTCCTGCAAAGAGAGATTCCCCCCCCCCCACTGATCAGTGTATCTTGTTGCAAATCACTGTGCAGAATATCTACAAAATATCATTTCAAAGTTGTACAGTAAACCCCCCCCCCTCCGTAACCCATGTTCATAGTTTCACTTCCCCATGCTGGGGGCGAGAGGCGAGAGAGAGAATGAGGTGGGGTCTCTTTAGGCATTTTTTTTTCATCCTCCAGGTGATCCTGTGATATATTATCATGGAATTGTGTCCAAGGACGTAGAAAATTCCAAGAGTAGATGCCGTTCTAGGAATCTCTAGGTTCTCCAATACGGTTGGGACTGAAAGAAAGGTCATTTAATGGCATTCACTGTATGCACGGTTTCATGTAACCACAGTCTGGTCGGAAACATATCCCCCATGGATACAGGGGTCTTACTGTACAACTAGTAGTCTAGAAAGTTATTTCATTTTAAAAAAATAGACAAGAAAGAACCAAAAGTATAAGTAGTTCATTACTTAAGAATAAAACTAAATACAATTAATTTTATTTAACAAAACCATGAATTAGTTTAGAACATTGCAAATATCCCAGTATTTGCAGCCTGTTATCTACAATTCCATTGCTTGATCAGAGCTAGGATCACAAATAGCTTTGCCATACAAATGCAACATTAATTTGACAGCAGTGACAGGAAAAGATGAACAGACAAAGAAATGCCACACCTGTTTCTGAGGATTTTGCTGTATGTGCATTGCTCCCCAATCTGACATGTCTTCTTCAGTAGCAATTACAGTATTCAGTTCTACTCCTGTTTTGTTTGTACACTGATCAAACTACTTCTCTGACATTGCTTAAAATGTCATTAAAAGAGATTTTACAATGCAAAAAATCATCATCACCACCACCACCACCTTTTTAACCTACTTATGAAAACAGGTTTGGATTTTCATTCCCTGTTTTTAATTTCCTGAATTTAAGAGAAATATTTAAAAAAGTTCTCTGACATAAAAATAAAATATCAATTTTAAAGACTACTAGAAAAAAAGAAGCTTGTATGCACAGAATTTTGCATTTAACTATTTTGACTGCTTTATATATTTCCAGCTTAGTTCAAATGAATTTTAGATGCTCTGTTCCAATATTGCTCTCTCTTGAGAATGCTGATCCTCAGCCTTCTTTCCTTACTCATGAATTTATATTAACTTCCAAATAATCTTCTGCAGTCCTCACTATAGCCCAGAGCTCTATTAAACTCTTGGATGCTTCTTGCCAGCTCAATACCGATTCCCAAATACTTGAGCTATAAATTGTTTACTGGGTTTCCCTGCCATTGGCAATTTCCATTCAAGTGGTCAAACAGCAGGGCAGGATAGCAGGGGGTGTTATTGACATCCGGGTAAGAAAATGAAAAACGTCATCCATTTTCTGGATTTCTGGTTATGTGAATCTGCTCTGAACTATTCACCTGAGAGTAGGTGTGGGGAAGCTTTAGCTCCTTTTTTTCCTTTGACTACAATTCCCACAATCCCTTACCACCAGCAGAATTGTCTGGTGTTTCTGGGAACTGAAAACCAAAATGTTTGCAGGTCCCAATATTGAACAAGCCCTCTCTTACACAGTCCAGTGATACAGACTTAGCTGCCACTCCTGGAAAGCAGATGTGGTAGAGTTGTAGCATAGAGGAGCATCAAGGCACTTTGTAGTGATCATTAAGACCATGCAGCAATGATGTATGTGCAAAAAAACCCCCATATATAGTGTTGAACAGGTTGACCAGAGAAACCTATATTATTTCTTTACTTTGACATTAGACATACACTATAACAAAAATGCCGATTCAAAACAGGTATGATCCAGCTCACGATCGGAAGGACTTGATCCTACATCTTTAGATAAAGAAAACTTGCTCCCTTGCGCTTCAAAGAGCATTCTCTGCTCACTGTCATCATTAAATTACCAATGTAACAATCAAGGCAACAGGTGGCAGACCTATATTTAAAGTCATACATTTCTGAACATAATCATTAAGCAGTTATACACATTACGAAACTCATACATCAACATTATACAACACATTGCTACATAAAATGGATTAAGGATAAAACAGAAATCAGCCTATCTGCTTATCACAGAAGAAGAAGAAAAATCAAAATCTTCTTTGCCTTGTTATGAGTTCTGAAATAGCATTTTCAGCTTTAAAGAGAAAAGACCCAAAAAGCTATAAATTATAGTCTAAAATATCTTTGAGGCATCTTGTGAAGTTTCTATGCTTCACTTGATAATATATTCCAACACAACCCTGCACGAATGCATCGTCTTCAACAATTAACTGTGAAGTAGGTTTATGCAGTAGGTCTATGCAGTGGTGATTAAAGTGCAAAATGTTTGGCATGAAGTTCTAGTGATGACTATATCTTGCTTCTATGGGCACCGAGCTGAGGCTGGATCTTCCATTGATAGCGACAGTATTTGATGGAGGAGCAACCTGGAAGACCCAAAAAGATATTCAGATTCATTGAAGACAAGCAGCCCAGTAACTAACACAAAAAAGGAAGCTATAACCATTTTACATTTGCTGAGTATCATAAATATTATGTAGGCTGATAAGTTTCCAGTCCCAACTCAAGGTGAAGGTTATCACCTACAAAGCCCTAAACGGTTTGGGTCCAGGCTATCTTTGTGCTTGCATATTCCCCTATGAACCTGCATGAGCTCTAAGATCTTCTGGGGAGGCCCTTCTCTCATTCCACCTCTGTCACAAGCACGGCTGGTGGGGACAAGGAGAGGGCCTTCTCAGTGGTGGCCACCCAGCGCTGTCACTCTCTCGCCAGGGAGATTAGATTAGCGTCCACCCTGTCCACTTTCCGCACAAAGCTAAAAACTTGGATGTGATCAATTCACTAGATAATTTTGGCCCCTCCAGTTATAACTTAACATCTGGCTCCTGCACTTTACCATTGTCCCTGCCCTTTAGTTTTACTGCACAAATTGACTTTAGCACATACTTATCATCTGGCTCTTCCAGTTTTCTATCAGTCCTGTCCTTGCAACTATTTAGCAAAGCCTCTGCCTTGCCCCTCAGCTCAGTATATGGTCTCTAGGTTAGGCTATTGGTTGTTTTGATGTTTTGATTGTTGATAGTTATCTCTCTCTTTTTTTGATGTTTTGCATTTGATTTTTACTGTGTTATCTTTTAATTCTGTCTGACTGGGTTTGGTCCTCATGTAAGCTGCCCAGAGTCCCTTCGGGGAAATGGTGGCAGGATACAAAAATAAAGTTGTTGTTCTTGTTGTTCTTATTAAACATGCAATAGCTGGTTATTTCATAAATACCTGCTGCTGGGAGTGAAGTCCACAAAGTCAAAGCACTATTATGGGAAAGATGATGAGAACAATCATATCTGCAACAGGAAAGACATGTGTCCAAAATCCTTCCCATATTGCATTGGTTCCATGGACTTCCTCCAAACTGATTTGTAGCAAGAAGAAACACTGGAGAGGGAAGAAGTCTGCCCTCCTGAGCTATACTGACTGGCAATGGAAGGTGGGGTCTTCAGAAACAATGTCCAAAAGAATAACTTTCGCAATTTGGAGCAGAAATTTAATTGAAACAATGCACTTGATCTATCATTCAAAATGCGTGCAATTGATCTTTGGAACGGTCCCAGATTATGATGAAGGATGGCATGATTTTAATAGTGAATGCAATGTTTTTTATATATATATACACACACACTATATGTCTTAATGTGCATGTAATTTTTATTTTCATTTTTAACTTAAGTGTATTCTAACTGTTTGTTGTCCAAAGGCATTGGATAGTTGCCATATGTAAAGCCGCCTTTGAGTCCCCTTCGGGGTAGAGAAAGGCAGGATAGAAATAGAGTAAATAAATAAATACATAATTGTCATTCTCTATTTTCCTAAGCCAACATGTTTGTGCCTAGCTCTTAGTGATGGACCTCACAAGCTTGAAGGAGAGAGGGACAAAATCGACAACCTGACATTTCTCCATGCCTGTACATAACGCAGCAGGCCTATGTATTCAGCCTATAGTTTATTTTTAAATGGTAAGCAATGCCTTCAGATGTGAGCCCAAGGAAAACTAACAGGATAAGTTTAGTCATATGATGGAAACATTTTGGAAAGAGAAATAGTTTCTTTCAACCTCATTTGACCCATTTGGTTAGCAATTACTGCAGGCTTTATTCTGCAGGAATGAAACTGCAGCACAAAAGGCCACAGAGTTTGGCTCTGCACCATAGCAAGTTATTAAAGGGGAGGGGAATACTTGGCTGATGGCGGTAGCACTTTTTGCCTTGTTTCTTGAAAGCTTGGCCAGCGCTTAGAGCACCTGACAGACCTTTTACCCACATTAATAGCCCAAAGCATTCAACCAACTTCCCCATTTAAATGTCATTTCGCTTCATTTTCCTATACAAGTGAACACGGTAAACCCCTGGCCTGCTGATATTCATGTTTAATTCCTTCTCGTGGTTTAAAAATTAAAACCATAGATGCAGTCTGACATCACTGTCAGAAGAGGTTTAAAAATAAACTTGACACCTCACTTTCCTTAGCCCAGCAGCTCCACTTCCTCATATGGTGAGTTTAAAATGCAGTCACAATGCCAGGCTTTCCCTCCTCCTCCTCTTAAATGGTTCAAAATGTTGACTAGAGTGGAGGGAAACCGGAAACAACGTTGACACAAAACAAAACGGACTTAGCTTTCAATACTAGTTGCAGTACTTCTGGTATGAGAGCTGAGCCCAAACCTAACAGGCCCACTGCTGTTGAATGACTGAGAATAATCTTGCTATGGGAGATATAGGAGAGGCGGCATGGGCTACTCATTCTGCCACAAGAAGTGGCAGAATGAATAGCCATGCTCACATATTGCCTTGGCACTATGGACACCTTCCCAGAAGTCAAGTGTACTGGAATGAGTCTACCTTGCCAAGCTAATGTGTAGGAAAATTTCTAGCCTTGGGAGAAAAGTCCTGGTCCAAGCTAAAGGAGGAGGGAACAGCCCACTCCTTAAATGATAGTGATGCTTGATTGGTGGGAGAGTTAGAGAGTGTTGCCTAGCTACAGAAGGTAGAGGGCGCCAGAGAGAGCAGTAATCTGGGGTACGGGGAGGAGTCTGAGGGGGAGAAGTGTTTGGAGGTCAGAGGGAAAAACCTCTGTGGGAGAGAGGATTAAAAATAGCCTCTGGGGAGAAGTGCTACATTTTTAGAGCGCCTCTAAGGGAAAGAGTGCTTATATATTAGGAGCCTCTGGAAGGGAGGATTGAGAGGTTTTGAAAAGCCCAGTTCGTTCACCTGTGAGCTGAACATAGTTTTGCGGCAGATAAGTTAAAGAACCATTTTCCTTTAAAGAAACAGCTTGATAATCTCCTGAAACCACTAAGCGTCTGAACCTTTCCTAATATCTGAGAAGCCTTCTTGTTCTAGTGCAAATAAACTTCACAAATCTGTTTATACTTCACCACAAGTATTCAGTGTGTCTTTCTGTGCCTTGATATAAGAAGGGGGTCAGTCTGGATAACAGCCATCACTCTTTAAGTCGGAGTTTCCCTCCATTTTTGAGTGGCTCTGTGAACTGACTCCGGTGGTCGGTGGGCCAGGGAAGAGGGAATGGTGTGGTCGTAGACCAATACATTTAGATTGGTGACAGAAATTTGTATTATAATCAAAATGGTATCAATAGAATAGACAATTCACAAACAATTTTATAATCTTTCTTTACAGCCCCAACTAGGTACTAACATTATATACTGTAACTCCTGAAACATAACCATAAGTATCAAAAGGAGAAAAGTCCAAATGTCTGGTATATATACATAACACAAAAACAAGTAATCCCAGGTACAATTTCCTTGTTTCATGGGAGCCTTCTTCTTGCATCTTGAGACCACGGATTCAAGAAGTAAATAACCACATATCAAAAGACTGTTATAGACTATTTGTAAATCAACACAACCTGAAGAAGTTACAGTATATAATGTTAGCACCCAGTTGGGGCTGTAAAAAAATTATAAAATTGTTTGTTAATTGTCTATTTGTATTGATACCATTTTCGTTATATCACAATATAGATATCTGTGCCTAATTGATGAGCAAAGTTGTATTGTCATGTAATTGGTGGTCGGCGGGTGAGTTCGACTGTTGGATCAAGCATTGGAGAAATGGGTGAATTGGAGCTAACACATGGTTCTTTCTTTCCTCACTGCTGTCACCACTGTCTTCTTGCCACTGTCATTACCTTCACCATCAGCAAGTCTATAGCAAAGTCTGTGGATGTACATGTTCTTCGTCTTAGTTCCATTTTTCCTTATTTTGAGCAAGCACTTTCATTTTACTTTATCCATTTCCTCACTAGAGCATTCTGCAATTCAATACATTTCTTCTATAGTCTTAAAGACACTAGAAGGAACCATGGAAGCAATCTTCCTGCTGACATGTGGAAAATCACCTCTAGTCCTGATGATGAAGACTCAGCGGCCTGCATGCAGTAGCCAAGATGTAGTACTGCAATTTCAGCACCTTATTGGGCCATTCAGTCATTGTGAGGATAATGCTCTAACACAGTCTTTAAATGGTAAGACAGAACTGGGAACAAGAATTGGAGTTGACTTATCAGCAGGGAGGACTGGCATGGGGGAGAGTAAGGGAAGCTGAAAGTGCATTATGAGGCCAGGATGATTCTTAAAAGACCTTGCAGAAAGAAAAATAGGAATGGCGGAGGGAAGGCAAGGAGAAAGAACTGACCTAGGTAAAAAGCAGGGGAAGAAGCATGGAAACTTGAGTAAGAGAAAAAATAGGTCAACAGGTGAACTTTTGCATAACACAGGAAGACAAGGGTAGAGAAATAGTTACTTCCAGTCTGAATTCAAAACAGTGGTGATGACAGTAAAGTTCTATATGGCTCGGGATGTCAATAACCCAGGAATATTAAGTGCTGACCTTTCTCTGTGTGTTTGTGTGCATGGCCAAAACTGATGTCTGCAGGAGAGGTGCAGTGAGGGGAGGGGGGCTCTGTGATGTCCCACCATCAGGCGCAATTTGAAATGCAAAGATATAAAACCATAATTGTGGAAGGTCCTCTCCTTGGAGGTCCAAGTGGTGACAAGCAAAAGCAGACATCCTCAGAGGTTGTTTCCAACAGACCTTACAACCTCTGAGGATGCTTGCCATAGATGCAGGTGAAACATCAGGAGAGAATGCTTCTAGAACATGGCCATATAGCCCGAAAAATCTACAACAACCCAATGATTTTTACTGAATCCCCTGGGGACTAATTTATTTCATAGTGTCCCGTAGACTCTCAGTTAACTGGAAACAGAACTCTCAAGCAAATGGCAAAATTTTCCAAAGAAATTATACTTTAAATAAACATTAAATACAATCATTTTTAATAATACAGTAAAATAAGTTTGTATAATGCATTCAAAGGTTCCCCTAAAGGTGCAGCGGGTTAAATCACTAAGCTGCTGAACTTGCTGACCAAAAGGTTGGCAGTCTGAAACCGGAGAGTGAGGTGAGCTCCCATTGTTAGGCCCAGCTTCTGCCAACCTAGCAATTCAACAACATGCAAATGTGAGTAGATCAACAGGAAGGTAATGGCACTCCATGCAGTCATGTTGGCCGCATGACCTTGGAGGTGTCTAAGGACAACGCTGGTTCTTTGGCTTGAAAATTGAAATGAGCACCACCCTGCAGAGTCAGATATGACTACACTTAATGTCAGGGGAAACCTTTACCTTACTAATGCATTAAAACTATGTCACATTATGTTAAGTTTGTCTTGTCTTAATTTGCTTTTAATTACTGTATTTCAATATTACTAACAGTCAGTACAGAGTTTATGATATGCTACAGTATGGGGTAAAGTATTAGTTAGGCCTATTTTTAATAGTAACTCTCATTGAGAGATAGCTGTCAGACCTCTGGTTGGGAAGTATTGTTGTATTTAGGCCCTGCTAATCCATGTTGGCCCAGCGGTCATCATTGGCCACACCATCAACCCATATGACTTGGGAACTTTGGTTGGTCCCTGTAAATCAATGCTGATGTTTTATATTTAGGTTTTATGCCATTATATAATTTTGTTTTCTTATGTTTTGTTTAAATTATTGATATTAGGTTCTAATTTTATGATTACATGTGGGGTTATTCTGGATTATTTTATCGGTGCCTGTTTGTTTTATCAAGGCATTAAATGTTTTATCAAGGTCCCGAGTCCCCTGAGGAGATAGGGCAGAACACAAATAAAGTTTATTATTATTATTATTATTATTATTATTATTATTATTATTATTATCATGATCAGAAGCATCAAGCAACCCAGAAACTACATCTACTAATCCCCGTGAGCGCCAGTTAACTGAGAGTCCACTGTACATGGTTTTAGTTATTTTAGTTTCTAATGTTCTTTTAACTTGTGTTATTATGTTTTTACTCTTCTTAAATTATGTATGGTTTTAATGTGTTTAAATTATTTGTCTAATGTATGTTGCATTGAGATTCCATGATGAAAACAGGACACTTTTTAATCTCTCTCCCCCCCCCCTCTCTTTATATATATATAAATATATATAAGTTTGAAATATTCTGAAGTATCTGTTGCAGGAATATGTTTAAGGTAAGTAGAAGGGTATTTTCAAAACTCTTCAGTACAAAATACGCTGGTATATATATAAAAGATACACTGGCATTTTGTACTGAAGAGTTTTGAAAATACCCTTCTACTTACCTTAAACACATTCCTGCCACAGATACTTCAGAATATTTCAAACTGAGAGAGAAGACATAACCACAAACAAAACAAGATACCATTCTCTATCGCTATCTATGGCTACCGGCTCTTCGCTATTGATGCAAACCCTTTTGAAAGCTGAGACAAAGCAGCTGGGCATCAGTGAGGAATGTTCAAACACTGTAGGCAAGTTAAGAGAAATAAATTCCATAAGAACTTGATCTCTACAGCTTCATACCAGCTACTAACAGATGCCCTCACCCTATACATTTAATGCTAAATATAAGTTCCAAATGTACACTGTGTACATGTGTATACTCTTTCCTTTAGCCAATCCAAGGTCAGCATGAACAGCTTGCATTCAGTTCATAAATCTCCTATTGGCACTATTCAAAAATCACACTCCCACAAGACTCTGTCATCATGACTGATGCTGGTACGGACTGCTATGGTGATTGTGAAATAAGCTCTGTAAATCCATTGTTATTGATTTAATGATGAGGAGCAGGGGGAAAATCCTCACCCTTCTCAATTTGGCAGCAGCTTCTCCAGAGCGAATTGCAGCCAGCAAGCTCTGGTGGATCTGTTCTGGGTCAGGACGCTCGAGAGTCACGGCGGGGCCTTTCTCACAGGCAGGAGTCGTTGGGTGGCCAGGCAGAGAGGGGACTTGCCTGCTTTGCTCATAGCTTGCACAATTATTTTCCTGTCAGATTAAAATAAAAGGTACAAAAGGTTACCCAAGTGAGGTCACCATGGTTTTCTTAGCCCCACATCATCACCCCATTCACACTTATAAATTAGCTATATATTTTTTTAAAAAAACGTTTTACAGAAGCAGTAACGGATATACTGTAATTCCAGGGCCTCAAATAATAATAATTTTTTTGTGTAAGGAGCGACTTGAGAAACTGTAAGTCGTTTCTGATGTGAGAGAATTGGCGGTCTGCAAGGATGTTGCCCAGGGGACACCTGGATGTTTTACCATCCTGTGGGAGGCTTCTCACATGTCTCCGCATAGGAAGCTGGAGCTGATAGACAGGAGCTCACCTGCTTCCTGGATTCAAACTGCTGATCTTTCAGTCAGCAGTTCTGCCAGCACAAGGGTTTAACCCATTGTGGTACCAGGGGCTCCAACACTACTACTACTACTACTACTACTACTACACTCCTCTGGGACTTCCGAATTCAGACAGACAGAGTTTTTGGAGCACAATACTCCTGACCTCACAATCATGTTGAAAAACAAAGTATGGTGACTTATTTGAGGATTGAAGAGAAACAACTGGAAAAGCTGGCACAATATGAGGATTTAAAGATCGAACTGCAAAGACTCTGACACAAGCCAGTCAAGGTGGTCCCAGTGGTGACTAAAGACCTTGGCCTGCACTTAAACACAATCGGCACTGACAAAATTACCATCTGCCAGCGGCAGAAGGCCACCTTACTGGGATCTACATGCATTATTCGCCGATACATCACACAGTCCTAGATGCTTGGGAAGTGTCTGACGTGTGATCCACTACAACAGCCAGCAGAGTGATCTTGTCTGCTGTGGACTCATCTTGTTGTGTCCCAAATATTAATATTAACAATAACAACAACTTTATTCTCATATCCCACCAACATCTCCCTGAAAGGACTTGGGCCGCTTACAGATGGCACAAAGTGCCTAAAAGCAAAACATAAGAGTGAGCATAAAATAAAATACAATAAAATAAAACATGCACATATAAAAACAGCTTAGACTCAATCGAATAATCTGTTGCCATTCTAACTAGGATGTTGTTTGATGTCTATGTTTCTTAGAAGCTACTAAAATGGGCACTCTATATGTTCCCATTTTTAAACCTGCAACTCACATTTATCCCCATTCATTTGATTGTTACCATAATACCAATAAATCAAAATATGAGCCTGCAGGTTGAAGTGTAGCATAAAAGTGTGTGAACCATGTTGTATCTGTTCACCACAATTTAAAGAGACCACACATAATAATTACAAAAGCAACCCAACAATAGTGCTAATGGAGCAAATTTATCCCATTCAAAGTTACACTTTTTTTTTGAGAGGGAGGGAAAGGAATTAATTACAAGTACCAAGTTCTGAACAACTCATTTTAAACAATAGCGTCTTATGCCAACTTAAAGACTAACATACTTATTATAACATAAGCTTTTAGGGATCATACCCTATTTTATTATACAACCATCAAGGTATTTTCGCCCTTGGGCTGAGAATTGCGGTATATAAGCGAAGCAAATAAATAAATAAATAATATTTTATCTTTAGTTTTTTTCTGTTTTCCCTGAAAAAGACTAACAGAAGTCAAGTTCCTCTGGAAATTGCATGTTAGTATTTTAATTTGCGAGTAATCCGAGGTGCATTGCCACAAATATTATGAAGAAATGACAGCAAGAGGATGTCACACATTTAAAACATAAATAAAAAAAATAGTATTATTATGTTTACCTTCTCTAGTACATTCCGTTGTGTTGGCCCCGTTGGACTTGGTAAAGGAGAATGGTCCTTCATCTCAGGGCTGAACATGGATGAGGGGCGATCGAGAGCAGGGCGCTCTTTTAATGGCCTGGGTGCAGTGTTGTATGTTTTACTGAATGACTGGGATCTCTTAACTGCCGATGACACAGCAAGGGCGAAAGGTGAGGGCCGGGAACTTGAATATGGTTGTGGCAAAACAAAAGTCCTTAAAGTCTTTAGATTTACTGGAGGAGGCTGGGAAGGGGGAGAATTCAGAGGCTTTTGCATCTGGAGAGCAGAACTGGTGACTTCAGTTTTTTCCTCAATATGGCCATTTTCAGTCTTTTCTTCCACTAACTGGGAAGGAGAACTAACTAGCTGAGGAAAAGGAAAAGAATTTTGATCTGGTGATACCAACTTTTTCTCTGTCTCTGTAGTCTTCGCTTCACTCTGAGTAGAGGTACTAACAGAACTGCTCCTCGCAATTGCTGATGTTACATAGTGACTAGAAATCCTCCTTTGCATCTGCAAATAAAAATTGTTTGGCTTTGCTGGAGGACTTAAGATAATTGGTTTTTCTCGCACTGCAGGAGGTGAAGAACTTTTGCTTTCTGTGCTTAGCACCAAGGGAGCGATTAGATGCCCTGGATTAGGCTTGGAATGTTCTGCTTCTACTTTTTTGCCTTTGGCAAGTGTCACATTATCCACAATACCGTAGGTCTTAGCTGGTGGGTCATTTGCTGGCAACCTAACTTCATTTCTAAAACCCGATCCTGTTTCATTTGGGCTTTTTATTGTATCAAGAATTTCTGTTTGTGTGCCAAACTCTTGAGAATTCTCGTTCTTAGGAGACACGTGCAAACCTGATGCTTCTTGATTCTCTACAGTATCTGATTCCCAGTTCTTAACTATTTCCAGGGATTTTGGAGGCACTATTTTATAAGTAGTCATTCCAATCTTGGGTATATAGTCTCTTGTAATCTCATTGGAAGGCTTAGGTTTAGGCTTTGAGTCTTGACGATAAAGAGGATAACCCACTGTGGGGGAACTAACCGGACTTTTGACAACTCTCTGTGTTGGCACAGAGTCATCATTTTCAAATGTATGACTTTGGTCACCATTAGAGCTTGCTCTACATTGAACCGCTTGGTGCTTCTGGTAGCTCTGCTCTGTCAATGTTCCAACAGTCTCCTGCATCCTGTTTAGGAGCCCTGAGGACTGATTCGGCACAACTGGTTTCTGAATATGGGTTGACTCTTTGTGACTGACCAACTTATAACCCTGAGGATCCATGCTCTTACTTAGTGCAGTCTGGTCTACATTATTATCAGATGGGGTTGCCTGAATTGCAACATCCTGAGTCTTTACTGTCTCCACACTGGAGCAATCCCATTTTTGCTCATGCGTTCTTAGAAGTGCTTGCATATTGTGTTCCTGATTTAGAGAGGTATCATCTTGACAGGTTTCACAGTTTAACACTTCAAGTGTTTTATTTTCTCTCACTCCCACTACATCGTATTGTCTTTCATCTGTCATTGTTGGAAGGGATGTTGTATCACCGTGACCTTTTTAAAAGGGCAAGAACAATTTTGAAAATAGCGTTAGGATCAAACAGTCATTTGAACAATGAATAAATAAATAGTACTACAGGCTCCCCATGGTAAATATCCACATATAATACATAATTTAAGACACCAGGACTTCTGGCAGACATAACCATGAATATTTTAAAATATTCAGAATGCATATACCACTTCTTATATATGTTCCTCTAAAGCAGTGGTTGTCAACCTGTGGGTCCCCAGATGTTTTAGCCTTCAACTCCCAGAAATCTCAACAGCTGGTAAACTGGCTGGGATTTCTGGGAGTTGTAGACCAAAGCACCTGGGGACCCACAGGTTGAGAACCACTGGCCTAAAGAGGACAGTATAGTCACTGACCTCCACAGTCACAGATGGATAATTCTTATATATAAGCAACCCTTATAGTAGGTTTGCAGTCATCAGCAATATTGGAAGTGTCAACCTCTGACTTTATAGTCATGTAACATAAGTAACAAAAACACAACTAATTCTAAAGGAAGAGAAAATCACCTATTTTTATATTTGTCTGTAATGATCCATGCAGCTTCCCACTGTCAACTGTAGACTTTTCTCTAGGTTTCTGATTATATTCATCTCTGTAAAACATTAAAAAAAGATAAACAGACCATTATCAGCAAACTGAGGGAGGAACAACATTCTTCATAATTATATGGGCAAAATATGAAATATAATGCCACAAAAATTGGAATTGAAGAACTTCAGGGCAAGGAATTTGTGCCAACAACTCCTAAAGAAATGATGAACTATCTCCTGGCATCTTAGAAAGATTAACAGGATCAAGGCATAGTGTTTCATGGTTTACAGTGGTGGTGAATACTATGAGGTCCTCAAATGGTGGTTGGACTGTAATGTCCAGCGGCCCTAGCCAACACAGCTAATGATCAGGAATGTTGGGAGTCACCATGCAGAAACATTTTTAGTCAACACTATTTCACCCCTAGTTTAGACTGATCCTAAACTGAAATGTGTATCGGGAAAAACACGTATGTAGTAAGATCACAGGAAAATCAGCCAAAAAAATTGAATGACTTAACATAAATAAATACATGCAAAATGAGTAGTGTGAACACTCAGTGAACACTCAGTGTTGATGAATCCTGTGTTAGTAAACTAATTCACTATGGAATAATAAAAACTGGTTGTCTCAAATCAGACCACAGAAGAGAGAAAGGAAATTTGTAACAAACCCTAGCATTTCTCATTGAAGTTCTTCTCTTGAAAATATCATCAATACTGAGAATCAATACTGAGAATGGTGGAAATTGACCATACAATCATATTAGATGTTTTAGAAATTACTAGAGAGATTAATCAAATCCACAAATAGACAAATCTACAAAATTTATACCAGTCCCAATATTTACAGTAAATGCAGTCCCCAAGTTATGAACAAGGTAAGTTCTGTAAGTCTGTTCTTAAGTTGAATCTGCATGTAACAGATACATTTTTAAGTGTAACTCCATCCATACACAAATATATAAGCTTTGGATAGTATACAGAAGGGTTAACACCCCTGTAGCTTTTGTTTTGCTGTCTATGCCCATTTATAAGATGTAATCTCATTTTCTGTCCCTGTGATAACTGGATTTTGAAAAAAATGTGGCTTGTTGTGGAAACAAGGATTGGTGATAAAGCTTCAGGGGAGACACCGTTTCCCTGTGATAACTCTTCTAGGAGTGAATCTCCTTTGCTAGGGGTAGATTTCTTTCACTTCCTGTTATCTCACCTCCATTCTTAACTATGAATCATTTGTAATTCGGATGTTTGTAACTCAGGGACTACCTGTATTAAATTTAAAGTGCTTACTTGTCATCTGCCCTCATGTTTTCTATTTTTTCTTCCTTTGAATCCTGTCTTTTAGCTTCAGCACTAGTGCCAGAATTCGAGACCAATGGAATAGTCTCATTTCTTTGAATATCCAGTGGAACATTGGGAGAGCTGATGGAGGTAGAAACCTCTTGTCCAGTAAGGGAGGTATCTGCATTTTCTTCATGCATTTCTTCTTTCTCATCGATCTCTTCCAAGCTATATTCAGAGCCAATGTCAGCTATGTTCACAAGAAAAGCACAAGGTGTAATATTATAAGATATATATGAAAATGCATTGTAAAAATAAAATGAAAAAACATCAACATTTACCTAGGTTAAGGCATAGAGTGGACAAAGAGCCAGAGCCTGAAATTCCAAATCTGAACAAATATCAGCATGGCTAAGCTAGAGAGTGAAGCCATGGTGGCGCAATGGGTTAAACCCTTGTTCCGGCTGTACTGCTGACCTGAAGGTCGGCAGTTTGAGTTCATGATATGGGGTAAGCTCCTGTCTGTCAGCTCTAGCTTACCATATGGGGACATGAGAGAAGCCTCCCACAGGATGGTAGAACTTCTGGGTGTCCCTGGGCAATATATCTCTGCAGATGGCCAATGGGGTAAGCCAGAAGCAGCTTGCAGTTTCTCAATTCACATACAATTCATCCAACAACCACCCTAATCTGTCGTACAAAGAGCTGAGGACAATAGCTCCCCAGATGTTTTTCGACAGCAATGGCCATAGTCCCTCAGTGTTGGCAATCCTGGCTAATGGGAGTTGATGACCATGCCTCATTTAAAATGACTGGCACCATCTCTCTGGGGTGTCAGAAGGGAACAGTGTCCACTCCAACATGGAGATCACAGCAAATGGATACAAGACTTTGTGTACACAAAGCTCATTGCAACTTAAAAATTCTCACTAAATCATTACCTTTAATCATATTCCAGATCTATAATATATTTCTTAAAGCTTATTGAAGTATATGAGATATTATCAAGCAATGTAGACCAGACTTCTGAAGAAAATACTTTAGAAGTAAATAAAGAGCAACACCATACAAGAATCAATCAGGGCCAGCTAACACCTCCAGACAAAGGATCCCCAGCAGCAATCAGCCAGGCTTTGAAGCTGCAAGGCCACTCAATGCTAATCAAGGTGGCCAATTACAACATTCACACTTGTCTCAAACAAGACAAGACTTCTTTTCCCCACCTTGGACATTCCACAGATATATAAACCTCACTTGCCTAGATTCCAACAGACTCCTCAACCTCTGAGGATGCCTGCCATAGATGTTGGTGAAATGTCAGGAGAGAATGCTTCTGGAACATGGCCACACAGCCTGGAAAAGTCACAGCAACCCAGTTCAACAACCCTTTTGAGAGCTGTAAGTTGCCCACATTTGCAGTAACTCTTGGGAGTCATTAATGTGAGAAGACATTTTATTAAATTGACTTGGGCAAGCTGGGCTTCTTCTTATAGCCATCTACAGCAAAGCTGATCAGAAAGGAAAAATCTTAAGATTCCCTAGGGGTATGTGTGTGTATTCTCAGTTTCCCCAGAAAACTATCATAGCATTATAATGAGAGAACGAGCATATGTAGTCTAAGAAGATTAATACGGAAAATAAGGCATGACAGCTACCTACATTTGAAAGAGATTTCAGATTCATCTGGCGTATCAAGACTACCCAATCGACTACCTTCATCTGGGACTTGCTGGATATTGTTTTGATCATGACTGGTTGGTTCAGAGAAGCCTGATGGCACTGCAGTCCTGGTTAGATCAACTACATTGCCTAAGAAGCAGGTTAGGAAATAATACAATGGATCAACTGGCATTAGTCTGCTGATTAAAACAAGGAAAACATGAAAAGATAAAAGTAAAAGCAGCAATGACACAGGAAAATTAGTGATGTCCAAAGAGGCTGCATTTTTGTTATGACACATTAGCAGGCTGCAGCATTTGGTAATGTTAACCAGTCTTAAAACTCTTGGTCAATTATAAAAGTGTTCAGATTAATCTGATAGGCATTATTTTAAAAGCATAATTATGTTTACTGCAAATACTTTTTTTAAAAAAGCCCACTTGTGGTAGTATGTTTCTTAGAAAATAGTGCTGACAGCAAGAGATGTAACAATAAAAGGCAGAATGCCTTTTTACCCCCTTTAAATTATTGTTTATTTATAAGCAAACCGATGCAGATTTAATTGATAAATCATTTTATATTTAAGTGATTGATCCATAATAGTCTAGTTGACTGTACCGTACGTTACTTTTTATTTTTGTGTGTGAAATAACATTTTTGTTTTTTAGTATCTTAAAATCTACATGAATAACATTTTAAAAAATATATAGGGAAAAAAATACAATAAATACACATATCTGGAAGTCCCAGATTGTGCATACTTGTGATCTATAGCTTATATATTTTCACTGGCAAAGGTGTAAAGATCAATTCATGATGTATGCTTTTTAACTAGTTGTGGTGACTTGGGAAGGGAAACATTCCTACTTTTCTGCTGCCAAGGGTAAAAAGTGGAAACCAATAAAATCCCACATGGCTGAGTTGCAGGAACTGGTTGCAGCTGTAGGGGGAGCTACATGCAAAGCTGTTCCAAGATAGTTCAGTTAATGTTTGCAAAGAAGGAATCACTCTCAACAAATGGGTAGTTTTTCAGAGGGAAAGCAGCAGGGGAAAGAAAACTTTAAATTCACTTCCCCAGGAATGCTCTGATGGGGTATCCATGAATAGTCTCAGGTGATGGGTCATGTCAAGGACAACAACAGACATACCCCTAAACATACCCTTTCAACTTTACACTTTAAAAATTGACATCCCAAAGGCAGTGGCAAGCAGGGATGGGAAGTTAGGCATGATTTTAAAAAAACCTGGATATTTTATATTATGGTGTTTGCAGCCAATCCACAGCCATTTAGAAAACAATAGGCCAAATTTTGGTTGATTTAGAATAATATGGGAACAAGGGGGTGGCTGTGAAAAATTGTGATGTAAAAATTACACTGAGATTCTGGAAGTTCTGAGTTAAGAACAATGTTGTCTGACATAATTGTGTTTCATACTACACACAGCACTGAAATACCTGCTGGAGATGGTACTTCTGAGTATCTTTCTCTGCCTTCTGTGTGAACTGATTCTGCTGATTCGGATCCTGAAATGATGATGCAATTTAGGAAATGTTTCCTCTGCTTATTTATTACTCAAAGGTCAAATGAACACAAATGAACATAACCAAATGCTGTTAAGAGTCAACAAATAAACAAGCCACATGCATGTTTTATGAAAGCCAACTACCATTACATTTTCAGTGTCCTATAAATCTTTTTGTGAATGACTGTGGGCTGCCCAGCTCCTATCTAACTGTATCTATCATCCATCACCCTGAACATACCCAATGTAGTATTTTTTAGAAGCTAAGCAGGATTGGGTCTGATTAGTCTCTGAATGGAAGACCAGAAGTGAACACAACAGATTTCCAGGAAAAGCCAGGAAAACGTCTGATGAAAGCCTTGGCAGTCCACCATTGCCAGTCAGAGTTCACAATACTGGCCTAGATGGAGAGGTTTCTGGACACAACATAAGGCAGCTCTTATACTCATGTTCCTATGCTCTTTGATCACAGAATATGCTACTTTGGAGTGTAGTGGAATGTCCTTCTCTGGAGGTTTTTAAACAGGGACTGAATGGCCATATGTCAGGAATGCTTTGATTGTGCATTCCTGCAAGACAGAATGGAGTTGGACTGGAGGTTCTTTGGAGTCTCTTCCAAATCTATAATTCTTTGATTCTAACAACATCTGGAAGACCACATATTTTTAATCTATATCAGTGGTTCCCAACCTTTTTTGACCAGGGACCACTTTGACCAGGGACCATTCTGCAACACTAGTACCAAAAGATTACAAACCAGTTTTTGGTCAACTTTAGATTCGGTTTGGTTATTTGGGGTGCTGATTCAGAAAATTGCATTGGGTATACCACATCAGCTTTCATTTCTGATACAGAACATAGGCCATCTGCTCACCCACGGAAAACCATATTTAATAATCTAGAGACACAGACCTTATTTTAGGTCTCATGGACCACCAGTGGGCCATGGCCCACAGGTTGCAAACCACTGATCTATATCATCTACATTTCCCCTCATACTTTAACTCATCTTGTCAAGACTGTACCTAAGCAATGAGATGTCTTTCTTCCCCCAAGAGGGTTTCCTGAGGGTCAGAGCGGAAAATTCAGAATGGCATAACCTAACAAAACAAGGTGTTTTATAAATATTACCAGTCTCAATGCTGTTGTCACTTTGAGCTTGCAATTTTCTGGGGGGTGGTGTTGGTGCCTTGCGTTTGGCCCGCCTCAGAGAAGAATTCACCGATGATGTGCCACTGAGCTGTAGAGACCCTGTTCTCACTATACCTATCCCTGAAAGTCCCTGAGAAAGAGGAGATGCCAAACGTCAAAATGGAATGAGAACATTCAAGCACAACAAAGCGACAAATGAACATCAATAATTGACAAAAGCAAAAAAATATATGCAGTTTAAATAAAATGAAGAAAACAATTCAGCACCACTGACACTTGTCTGACAAAAAAGTTAACACATGTTACAAGTGAACTAGAGGCCCAATTCACATTTAATGCTGACATGCTGATTTCTCATTACAGAAGGAGGAGGAGGAGGAGGAGGAGGAGGAGAACTTTATTTTTCTACCCCGCCTCCATCTCCCCAAGGGGACTTGGGGTGGCTCACATGGGGCCAAGTCCAGACAACATACAGATTAAAAGCAAAGACAACAGCCAATTACAAATTAAAAGAGCACAAACAGCATAACAGTAATAAACAAGTACCAAGCAACAGCAACCCAATTTTGGAGGGGGAAGGAGGCCAACATACAAATTGATTAAAGGGTAAGTAGTTCAACAAGGTGGATAGGAACATAAATGGCTCATATGATATCATGGAAACAGAGCCATTAAAAAGGATCAGAATAATCTCAGTTTAACTTACATATATGAATAATGATGTAATATATGAATTCAGGTTAAATGGTGAAAATAGAACACTCATTCCACTCCCTGGATCACTTATGTAATGATATGTAAATTTTAAGTAGGTGTCATTTTTTTTTGTCTAATACCCTCTAATTCCATGCTCTCCTACTCTATGCACACACAATCTGACAAATACGTAACTTTTAAATAATGCCATATAGAGGTGTGACGATGTAGAGTTACAGGTAGAACAGGCATGCACTGATTCATCTGTCAGATCACAGGAGTAACCATTCTCCATTCTGGCAAACTAAACACCTAAGCATAACAACTATCCTTTCCTTGACTGTTTTCAAGCAATTAGAAATAGTAAGAGTCCCCAAAGCAGAAATAATACTTTTTCTTAATTTCTCTGTAGCCCATATAAATTAGAGAAAACCTCTTGTTCTCCTCACAGGCATGATCTGGAATACAGCATCCCTCAAAGATGGCCATCTAACCCAGAGAGGTTTCCAAATTATGTGTCATAACACATTCATGTGTAGGTGTGCTGTACAAACATAATGATACACCTCTGAGTCTATGTGAAATAAGCGATAAATCAGTTTTCAATAGGTTTTCTTGAGATGTTGTGTCCTCATACATTTTGTTATTACAGTTTATGTATGTATCAATAATTTTTATAAGTGGTTGATTTAATTTCTGGTTTGCTAATTAAACAGTGTTACTTTGTCACGAAATAATGCATGTTATGTGGCATCAACATGAAATGTTTGGAAAGCTCTGATCCAACCACCTCTACTAAGGGATAGATAGATATTCGTCTACTAAGGGATAGATAGTCCACTACTTCCGAAGGCTGCCTGGTTCATTCATGTAGGTCTTGACGTTTATAGTTATTAAAAACACCAAACTGTTCGAAATTTGCTCCTTGAGTTAAAAACAGTTCATTTTTGAGGACTTCCAAAACTGGAAAATTAATTTGTGGAGCACTGAAAAGCAAATATGCATCATACAATGATGACACAAAAAGAGCTAAAAATGGTTATGTTGTAATGTTGTGGTTTGTAGCGTTCATGAATTGCAACAAGAAAAATGCTGTCAGTTCTCCAGACAAAAAGAAATGGAATCTCAATATGGCATTTAGAAGACTGTTAACATTTACTTGTGTATATTTGAAATCCTGGACATTCACAGTATTGACATATGGCAGAACAGTGAATGCCAACTGCATTCTGAATGGCACTATATTGTTCAACATATTTGTTTTTAGAAGTCTATTTGCATTACCTTCAGAAAACCATTTTTTCAGATACTACATATGAAGCTGTAAAATCTAACTGCAAATGAAAGTGAATTTTCTGCAACCTTGTCTGGCTGTTTAACAGGAATGCAGTTTTCAATAGTGGATAAAGCTAAAGAGAAAGTCCCACTTGTCATTATGATTAACCAGTAACTTCCTTTGTTACAAAACAGGATTAAACAGTGTTAAAGTTAAATGAGCCACAAATAATCTCATACATAGGAAAACACAACTCAGTGTTTCTAATGTCATGTAGCAAGCATTGCATGTCTCTAACATTCATTTACCTGAGACCAAGCAGATAAAGTTGTAAAGACTAAAGTACTCTTGACCAAAAGCAACAATAACTAAAATCCTCTGCCTATAAAGAAGTAGCTGTCAGGGAGAAGACTTTTCTCTTCAACGTCCAATTTTTCAACATGTAGAGTTTAACCTTCTCATCATCATGGGTTATCACTCCTTGCCTTCCAAATGTAGGGCCTTGGCGGTGGGTCTGTAGGTGACTATTTACCTACAGATCTATTTTTGATCTGTGTTTTCTTTTACAGTGAGGTCATCGATTTCCAAGTGGAAGATGGTCCTGCAAGAGTTGGCTTGATGTGTCTCCCTTTCACCTTCCATTTGTGCCTCTTTGAATTCCACAGCACTGTTGGTAGCAGCTGACCACCAGTTAGAATGCTTGGGGGCCAGGACTTCCCAGTTCCCAGTGTCTATGCCACAGTTTTTAAGGTCTCTTTTGCTGTCCACCAACATTCCATTTTCTGTTCTTGAGTTGAGAGTGTAGTAACTGCTTTGGGAGATGGCGATTTGGACAACATGGCCAGTCCAGTGATGACGGAAGATCATTTCTTCAATGCTGGTGGAGTTTGCTTCTTCCAGAATGCTGACATTTGCAGGATTTTTTTTGGAGGCAATGCTGATGGAATCATTCCAGAATTTGAGTGTGATATCTGTAGATGTCCACGTTTCACAGGCATGTGTTGCGATAAGGCACAAGTGTCAAACTCATGGGCTGAATCCTGCCTACTGCCCACCATGTCATTTTATGTGGCCCTCGGGATGCTGGACTACAACTTCTGTATTTCTCATCATTAGACATAATGACTCAAAATGATGGAAGTTTTGATATAGTAAAATCTGGACGGCACAGTTTACTCTGTTTAGTCAGGATAATAGAATTTGAATTTACAAGAAACATTGAAGCTAATGAAAGAAAATAATCAATCTCTGGATTTATTTTGGAAGAAGAAATAATCAATCTCTGGATTTATTTTGGAATAGTTTCCAGAAGGTTCAAAATGTTTTGTTTACTTATGTAAAACTTATATCACCTTATTATTTCAGCATACATGTACATAATATGTTTATTTTGGATTAATAGATTTCCAAAAGATGTTGGAACTGTCCTCTTCTTTGTTGTGGAACCTATTCCTATTCTTCTCACGTTATTTCTGCCTCTGAAATAACTGATAAAGAAAGGCCCAGGGACATGCCAAATTTATTAACTGAGATATAGCTGCATTTATTTATTTAATAACTTGCCTTTCTCCTGAAAAGGGACCTGTGCCATTCACGCAGAATGAGAGTCCGAAGGGGCTTTCTGAAATTTAGCTTTTTATGCCTGCAATGCATTCCCTGTATGGCAAAGGTAGAAAAGGCATCCATGTGCACTGAAGCCTATGTGATCATCTGAGTCTTCAATTTAATATGATGGAGTCCTGACAAGGATGCCTCTTACTTGCTCTTTGTCAAAACTATGCCCAGGAATTACCTGGGAAATGTATTAAGTCTTTATGTGTGTCAGTCAAAGTCATATTCCAACTGCACCATTTATTCCCTTCAATTGCTGTCAAGTACGACAGGGAAGCAAAAAGAGGGTAACTGGAGTTTTCTATTTAAAACTGAGAAACTAGACCACAATAAATAGTAGAGACAGTGTTTCTTTTTTAGTTGGCTTTTCTTACTTTTGTCTGATATTACCATTTTGGCATGGATAAATGACTTGCTTTATCAGAAGCAAGCAAGCTGTTCACCTGGGACAAGGACGTTTCAGTTCAACCTACTATAAAGGCAATGGGGAAGAGAGTTTTATTTCTTGTTTTCCAAGCTATGAGGCACTACAAAAATGGAGCAACTCCCAATTTTTTTTTCAAACAACCTAATCCCAAACTACAAGGGTATACAAATTTTCTGGAATAATAAAGGAGCATGTGTGAGATTCTCTCTGCTACAGCTCCAGTACTCTGAAACTTAAACACCTGAAACAGGGAATGGATACCAAGGGGACCTCGTAATGATTTTGTTTTTAAATTAATTAATTAATTCTAATTAATTAAAATCTGCCCATAGCCTGAAACACTACCTCAATAACTACTCTACTCTTCCCCAGAGAGGAACCGACTGTCAGGATTAGGATAGTTGCTTCTCCAGAGGCAGCCAAGTAGTGTGATGCTTCCCTATGCGTGTCTGTGTCCTCCAAATTGTCTATCAATTTGTGGTGACTCCATGAACTTCATAGGGTTTTCTTAGGCAAAGTATACTCAGAAGTAGATGGTGCAACAAAACTAAAGACATTTTTGGTACCATAGTGTTTTGTTCTAAGACTGTTGCTATGGATGGAAGCATGTTCAGCACTGGGGACAATGAACAAGTAACTCTAAGATTCAAGGTGCTCAGAAATTCTGCAGGCTAGCAAGCCATTTTTGAAAATCCCATCACAATAGATAAATCAAAAATCTACTGCAAAAAATATGGTATATGTCAAGAAGCAAATAGCCTAAAAATTGGCTTATGCTCTAATTTCCAAGACTGGAGTTCTACTCACAAAATAAAGCTTCCTACACCTCATCCTTTCCTCTGCCATCTTTTACACAGTTGGGCATCACTGTTTCTGAGGACTTGGGAACAGCATGGGAATGTGGCAGAGCAAGACAGCAGAATTGGACACCTTCCCATGTGCTCCTGAAAGTAATTCTGTGTAGTAGCTTTGAATCTAAATCACTCTTTTACAGATCTTGGTCTGTCACAATACTAAAGCTACACAGAATCAGCCATTCTTTAATATAATGATGTCAATGACACAAGCTTTGCTTTTTGATTGCAGCTCAAACATGGGAAAAATACACAAAAGCTACAGCTCCCAAAATCTATCACAGTCAACATGGCAAGTGACCATGCTTGCTAAGAAAATCTGAGAGTTGTACTGAAAAAAAGGAACCTTCCCAAGTTCTGGTATCTTGTAAAAATGAAAAGTGGCCAGAATTGGGCAGCTACAAAAGCATGGTCTAATTCCCTGCTTCTTAAACTGTGGGTCTTGATCCCCCTTAGTTCAGTTGGGGGTCACAAAAAATGGCAGCAGTTAAAGGTTTTTGAATGCCACCCATTCATACAAATCTGTTAGCAATAATATGCAGTGTTTATGGCTCTGCAGAAAATGTTTCAGTTGCATTCCATGAAAAGAATAGCCCCAGCCATACTTACCAGTCTGAACTCATCTCCCTCTATGAACCACTACGGAGGTTAATATCTTCTGGGGAGGCCCTGTTCTCAATCCCATCACTTTCACAGGTGCAACTGGTGGGGACCAGAGGCAGGGCCTTCTCAGTGGTGGTTCCTTGGCTGTAGAACTCCCTCCCTAGTGGGATTCAATCGGCCCCTTCTCTTCTGTCATTTTGCAAACAAGTGAAAATTTGGCTCTGGGAGCAAGCATTTGGCCCAGCATAATTATCTGTGCAAAACAGTTGGAATTGACCCTGGATAGATGAACAGGATCATTTGATTATCTGGCTTTGGATCTATGCACAATAGTAGTCTAATGTTTACATATGTTGTGTAATGTTGTTTTAAAATGTTGTTTAATTGCTTTTAATTGTTGTTGTTTGGGCATGGAATAATGCCAATTATGTAAGCAGCCAAGAGTCCCCTTCGGGATGAGAAGAGAGGGATATAAATGCCACAAACAAAAATAAAATAAAATAAATACATGAAAAATCAGCTGATTTAGCAAGCCTTGCAAATGCTGGTTTATTTTCAGTAAACGTTTGATTTTTACACCCACTGTATTTTACATACCTCTATACCTGGGGTTATGGAAAAAAATATTGGGTGAAAAGGGGCCGTGAACGGAAAAGGTTTAAGAAGTCCTGGTCTTCCTAAGAGCTTCTGACCATCACAAGAGACCATTTAAAGGAGGGGGTGAGAATGTCAGTCAGCTGCTTCCTGAGCCACAGAGGAGCAACCCCCCATGGATTGCAGCAGCTGCTTCTTTTAAATGGGGACTGAGAAGTGGGTTAGGCTGGGAGTCACTGAGCAGCTATGTATTCTAATGGCCATGCATTTTAACCTCACAGGTGAATTCTAGAAATTGTATTGTGTTTCTTTGATTTGAGAGGATGGCTCACTGAAATACCCTTTTCTTGAACTAAGAGGATCCTCTCATCCATAAGATCCCAAATCTCTATTAAACAGCACACTCTGGTGGTTGTGATTTAATAAAAAAGAAATTATTGAATGGTGCCTGATGTAAGAAAAAAATCTACTGAAAACCTTACATCAAATTCATCTCTTGGGTCTGTTTTTCTCACCATTCAGTCCTTTAATTCATCTTTCTAGCATGTTCGTGTAGCTTAGTGCATTAAAAATGCCTTTCATTCCCGATTCAAAGTGATGTCTGAAACACAAATACGCAGTAGTCCAATTTACACTGACACATTTAGCTTTGAACTTTAATTGGAATTTGCAATTGACAATCTGTGCTTTACCAAGATATTACCCACTGCATTAATTTCCCCACAAACTGTGCTGGAGTAAGTTCAGCATTTATTGGGATTTATATAGATAGATTTGACCTGTCAGCCTGCTTCATAACTTCATTAAAATGAATTATTACAGAAGCAGTCAATTTTATTAAGATAAAAACACTCATTTTAGACATCCATGTTCTTTTGGCAAGTAAAATTTGATTTTCTCTATCTTGTTCCTGCTACCACAAAGATCTGAACTGCTTAGGACACCTTTTCTCAGAAACATATTTAACTGCAATTTCTTATAAGAAGGCTAAGGAAAGGTAATTTGGATATGACATAAATGCCTAATCCTTCTCCAGTTATCGTGTGTTAATGCAACCTCTCATATTCCCATATTTAATTCAAGCATAACAAACTGTCTGCTAAATAAAGAAAAACGGGTTCCAGTTCTAAATTGATAAGTAGAATTTTGAAACACTGAAGTACCATTTACAAAATGGGAAAAGAATGGCTGCACTCAAAAGCACTATTTCTGAATTTGTCCTACATTATCTTAACACTTTCATCATGTTTCATATTATTTTACAACGTTTTATTTTCACCTAAAATACATATTTTTATTTCCAAATTTACAATAAATTTGACAATAACTGGAAAACTATTTATGGTATGTGTATGTGAGAGAAAGGGAAAACATAGAAATATACCGAGGACAGGGAAAGAACAAATTTAAAGAAAAATTGTGCCTTCGTGATTACATAGGCAAATCCTCATCATGTGAATAGGCCATCAATATAGTTTACACCACCACAACTTGTTTACACCAGCACATCTTGTTCATCAGGATGTCTATCACTGCCTATCAGGAGGTCTAACACTGCATATCCATGGTTCCCAGCCATGGTGGTGGGGTATAAATAATGATGATGATGATCTGTGCTTTGGCCACATGAGATGGCAACTTCTTGAGAATCAAAGGTTAAAGCAAATATGGAATATGTGCACTCGACATTGGTATGGCCCGGTCTATGAGCTTGGATCATATGATTTTAATGTTTTTATTAGGTGTTTTAATTCTTGTATTTCATGTTTTAAATGTCCCTTTTTCTTGTCTTAAAGTGGATTGTCTTATTGATTTTATGCTCAGTTATATGGTGTTGATTTGTGATTTGGGTTAGTGTTCCCTCACTTATCACGGGGGTTCCGATCCAGGACCTCCCACGATAAGTGAAAATCCACAAATTAGAGACACCCTATTAATTTTAATATTTATACATTATTTTATATATTTTATATGTTATTTTCTTACCCGCGCTTCCTTACCCACCTTCCAGCCCATTCCAAGGGGACCTGCCTGCCTCTCCGGCCTCTGCAGAGCCTCCGGAGCCATGCAGGAAGCAGCAGGCCAGGGAGTCTGGGGTCCCTGACTTCCACTGGACAATAATATTTAATATTTTTATGTTTTATTAATATTTTCAAAAACCCACAAAACAGCGAGTCCGCTAAAAGCGAACCGCAAAGTAGAGAGGAAACACTGTACATATGTAAGGCATCAAATTTTGCCATTATTTCTGTGTAAACTGCTTTGATCCCCCCAGGGGTGAGAAAAGCAGTACATAAATACTGCAAATAAATAAATAAATGCATCAAATGAATTGGGTCCAGAATTGTGCACTACTGTCATTTATTTTGAGCTTATGCTCACAGAATTTTCTGTTTCAAAGTGACCCAAAAATGTATCTGAAATAAATTACAGAGAGGACATTTAAGAGGAAAAACAGAGCCATTAACAACAAACCTTGTCAGTTTCATCCACACTGCTCGATTTTACCACACATGTTGCATGTCTGTCCTGAGTTTGTGCGAGATCCTGGGGCACACTTTGAGAAGCAGGCATAGGAGGCAAGGGTGCTCGTCGCTTCTTTGGCATCTCAGATGGTAACGTGCTGGAGTCGTAGTGTTTGGAAACTGTATTGGGTTTCGTGATGAAGGTAGGCCTTGGCTTGCTCATTAACGGAGTAGCAGGAGCACTGGCAGTCTTATGAGGAAGGTAAGATAAAAACAATATACAATGTTAAAAATCAACAAATAGATACTTGGCAACCAGAGATTAACCATCTTTATTTGTGACCTTTATTACAGAGATAATTTTCGTTTCTATCATTAAAAACATAGTAATTCATTATAGTGAATTCAGTTCAGTACCATTCTAGTATGCCCTATAATTGGGTTATTGCTATTTGAACATTAACCAGATAGGAGAAACCAGATTAACTGTACCCAAACAGTCATTATAACAGCATGGTACTCATTATGGGCAAGCAGTTCTCATCCTGCAAGTGATGTATGTGAAGTCATAGTTAGCGACTATAAGTTAAGAATAAAAATGATTGTCAAATCACAGTTGTAACAGGAGCTGAAAAAAAAATCATGTCTAATGACCAATTTTTGCAAATCAAACTTAAAGCAAGGTGGGACAACAAGCTGAATGCAGTCCACATTTGTGAAAGAACATGGCATTCTGAATTATATTGTATTGTCTATTAAAAATACAAGGAAGATGCTGCTGCACCACTGAACTTCCTTTTCCAGCAGTGGTTCTCTATCTTCCTAATGCCACAACCCCTTAATACAGTTCCTCATGTTGTGGTTACCCCCAACCATGACATTAGTTTTGTTGCGACTTCATAACTGTAATTTTGCTACTGTTATGAATTATAATGTAAATATCTGATATGCAGGATGTATTTTCATTCACTGGACCAAATTTGGCAGAAATACCCGATACACCCAAATTTGAATACTAGTGGGGTTGGGAGGGATTGATTTTGTCATTTAGAAGTTGTAGTCGCTGGGATTTATAGTTAACTTACAATCAAAGAGTATTCTGAACTCCACCAATGATGGAATTGAACCAAATTTGGCACACAGAACTCCCACAACCAACAGAAAATACTGGAAGGGTTTGGTGGGCATTGACATTGAGTTTTGGAGTTATAGTTCACCTACATCCAGAGAGCACTGTGGACTTAAATAGTGATGGATCTGGACAAAACTTGGTACGAATACTCAATATGCCCAAATGTGAACACTGGTGTAGTTTGGGGAAAATAGAGCTTGACATTGGGGAGTTGTAATTGCTGGGATTGATAGTTAACCTACAGTGAAAGAGCAATCTGAAACCAACCCACAATGGATTTGCACTAAACTTGGCACACTACCGAAATGGCCAACACTGAATACTGGTGGGGTTGTGGAGGGGGGGGGGGTGTTTTTGAATTCTGGGAGTTGTAGTTCACCAAAAAGGAAGAGAAGGACAGGTGGAGAGATCAGCTTTTTCTGCAAAAATAATGTGTTTTCTGATGTTCTTTGGTGATTCCTCTGAAATCCCCCTTGTGACCCCCCCCCCCCCAGAGGTCCTGACCCCCAGGCTGAGAAACACTGTTTTACAGTCAAGGCAATGTTTTCCTTTCAAGACAATGTTTCTTTCAAAGACACTAAGCCATCAAAGTTCCGTGCCATGGATACAGTGGCAAAACAGCAACATCCACTGAAATAAGATACAAAAGAAACACACAACTTGTTTTTTTCACTGGAAAGTGCAATTCAATTTTATAAACAAGGCACATGCTCCCCACAAAGCAAAGTAAATGTAACCACCACTGCTTCACCACTGAAATGTAGCAACACAGCAGTTGGCATTTATGGAGAAACACACACACAAACACAGAGAGCCATCAAGAGAGATGTGTATTTTTCTTGTTACTATCAGACTGCAAAAGGATGCACCCAGACATCATCAAGGTAGAAATCAAATGAAGTCATGGGACAGATAGCTTGACATTACATTTCCCTGACCAGTCCCAGATGCTTTTAATAAGGTAAAACATACATTATTTTGTCACTTCTAAAGTGAGACAGGAGGAGAACCTACTGAAAATAACATTTTGTTTCTGTTCACTAATTGCAGATATTATGTTTCTTACTTGTTCTCGTTTCTTTTTGTTTCGCTGAAAAAAGCTGAAGAATCCTTTATTTTCCTTCTCCCTTAAGACATCTGAATTTTGTGAGTTTTGACAGTCTAAAAAAATAAAATATTTGCTGTCACAATTCCTAGATTGCGCCAATGTTTTCCTTTCCTGCTTCTTTGTTTCTTTTGCAGCAATTTGGTACTCAATTCCATATAAACTGGTTTAGTAATACTTCTTTTCATCTTTTAGTATTTTTTTCCTATCATTCTCCTAACAACCAGAACACATTTTATTAATCAAAATATAAAATATACAATCAGATAGTTTTTTCTACATTTACAATGTCAATGACAAATGTTTATTTAAAAAGGATAAAAGCATTGCCTGTGCTAAATTGTAAATGTAATTTATTTATCTTTCTTAAAGAAATTACACAAGGAAAAACCAACATCTTTATATATAAACATGAAATTTATGTTGAAGCAGATCACTCAATCACCATATTCTTAGTTTGCAATTGTATTGCAGTCTTAGAGGTTGTCAAGTCAATTCAAGTGCCTGTGAGAAGCCCATAAGTATTAGACTCAATCATTATCCTCAACTGGAATCAATAGTAGCTACAAAAATACTGATTTACTACATAGTGAGCAACAATAACCATAATAAATAATATAGTAAATGAACTAGCAGGAAATTGTGTCCCAGTCCAAACATCGGCACTGGGTAGATTTTTTCATATTTCAAGGTGTTATCATGCACTTAATAAATATCTTATCTAGACAAATAATTACAATTACAGTGAAGCTTTTGTAAACATCCTAAAGTGAAGGCAATGAAGTGTAAACATTAAAGTGAAGGGAATGGATGCCACTTGTACATTTATTACTATGGTAGAAATGCAGAACTTAAAGGAAGTGGCTGAAAGAAATATGGGATTTTTTGTGTGACTGTATCAGAAGTGACTTGAGAAACTCACCTCATCTCATGGATTCAAATCTTCAGGTCAGCAGTGCAGCCGGCACAAGGGTTTAACCCATTGCACTACTGTGGCTCCAGAAATATTCACAATGTAATATTATAGAAATATTGGTATAATACTACATTGTGAAAACTTCTTGGTTACAGAATGTATGCTATTAGCTCCATTTGGTCATCAAAACAGTCAGATTTGTGATGAACACAAACTTATTACAAACAACACACTATCCTGGTTCAAGCTACTAGATAACTCCAACTTGGCTTCTCTTACAAATGGAAGTGGCTAAACAAACCAAGACCTTTCAAAAGCAAAGATCCAGCAACAACACTACAATTCTCAACCTGTGGTTCTCCATACATTCTGAGTTTCAACTCCTAGAAGTTTCAAACAGCTTGGCCAGTAATGGTGAGGAGTGCTGGAAATTTGGATCACAGAGATACCTGGAGGACCAAACATTGAGAACTACAGTATATTCTGGCGTATAAGACTACTTTTTAACCCAAGAAAATCTTCTCAAAAGTCAGGGGTCGTCTTATACGCGGCTGTAGTCTTATGCATGGGAGTCGTCTTAACTCTATATTTTAACTGGAAAAGTTGGGGGTCGTCTTATACACCCAGTCGTCTTATATGCCGGAATATACGGTAATACAATAGCAACAGTTAAGTATTTGCCAACCAGGGACCCAGGGGTATGATTTGTTCTTAAGCTAATAATTTCCCTTGTCTAGGGAAAGCCAAATCAGACTTCCGAGTTCACATATCAGGAAAAACAAACTACTATTTTTTCATTATTTATTGAGGTGTAAGAGAAGCCAAGCAGAAGTAACTGAACAGTGTATACCAGTATCCTGCCTCATCCATAAACAATTGTCATATGTCTCTGTAAAGCTAAATGGTTCTTCAATCCTAGTGAGGATGGAGCGAGGGCGATTCCTTTATTCTCTTTCTTCTGAAGGTACCCATGTAGTCTCTCATCATGTTCCAAAAAGTTGTCTAAACTATCTGGAGCAGATGTTTGGAAAATGCAGGTGACTGCAAGAGGGTACCAGTAAAAATAACCTCCCCCATTTTGGCTTAAGAAAATTGCTAATATGAAGAGCCTCCAAAAGATACAGAATTAAAAATAAGCTTAAAAAAAGAGAAATACTCTGATGCTGCACAGTACACAAGTACACAGGGACCCCATTAAGATAGGATCACCAATCACCACTGTATTGTGCAAAAAAAAAAACCCTTTGAGTTATCTAATTTATAAGGTTAACCTAGGTAAACATCAATCATATTGAAAGACATCTGTGCCTTACAACCTTCCTGTATTCATTCTATGACATAAGAACAGCTCACCTTGTAATGAGAAGCTGAATTCAGTAGTTGGTGTAGCTAGAGAAAGAGAGAGAAATGGACATCTAATTGTAACTGACAAATGTTTCCTGTAAAAGTTTTTTTATCAGATTTTCAGCAAAGACGCAGATAGCTACACAAGCAAGTTTTCAAAGTGCATAAGAGTGTGAAATAATCCCTGCTATCAAATTTCATGCAGAAAGCAAGAGCAATCTGCAGTCAAGAATGGCCAAATGCTTCATTTCTTGTGGGCTTAACCTTCAGGATAAAATGAAAATGCATCAGTTTATCAGATGGCTAGTTTTTGCCATGAGAAATGTAGACTGAAAACAAGTAGGTAAAAAATATGTGGGAGGCACAGGAAAAATGTGGACAAAGACCTCTGTTCTAATGATAACAACACTGTGCTCACTGAGAGGAGACAACCATGTGCATGAGAATGGATCAGTTAAAGTCTAGACCTTGATTTGATAGAAAATCTCTGGCAAATATGAGTTGTTGTTCACCAATGGTTCCCAACCAACATGACAGAATTGGAGCCATTTTGCTGCAAATAAAGGTGCAAAACCTCCAGAATACATACATGCAAAGCCAGGAGTATTTGCAACTTTAATTTCTGCCAAAGGTTATTTTTATCAAGTGATGCCTCAAGGGAAGAAGGGTGAACACTTATGCAACCAACAAGTGTCAGGTGCTTGTTTGTTTTTTGCTGAGTTAGCTTTTGTGGAACAAGAAAATGTTTTCCATTTTCATAGTGCTACACAACAAGTGGAAACAATGCAGATTAAATGCATTCAGGTTCCAGATTGCAACACAGCAAAACGTGGAAAAGTCAAATACTACTGCAAGGCTCTGTGTATTTTGTAATGGATGCAATTATTGCTTTTAATTTTCATTAACAAAAACAAAAAGAAGAGTAGTAGCTAAAATTATAACAAAAACTCTGCACCCGAATATATATTCCCAGAATTTCCTCTAGTAACAGAGTGGCAAAAGACAATTACGTAGCTCTTACATTTGCTGATATCCATTGCATATAATTCTCTCAGACCATGGACATTAAGAGATGTTGTCAAGTCAAGTGTCTCAGAAGATTGGTAGGTCTTCAGCAACACAGTGTGTAAAGGATCGAAGTCACATTTGCTACAGATAATTGGGAGGAGTTCTTGAAGTGGTACATGAGGGCTAACTCTGACAATCGTCTTCTGTGTCTTCTTGTAGTTTACCACTACTCTCACTGTTTGCTAAAACAAGTGGAAAAAATACATTGAATATAATTCAAAGTTACAGCTTTTGATTTGCTTTTCAAAGGCATAACCAGCCCATGATAGTTCTGAATAGCTCATCAATACTAATAATTGAGTTTTTGTAGGTTTTTCGGGCTATATGGCCATGTTCCAGAAATATTCTCTCCTGACGTTTCACCTGCATCTATGGCAGGCATCCTCAGAGGTCTGTTGGAAACTAGGAAAATTGGGTCCCCGGGTGTTTTGGCCTACAACTCTAGTTTACCAGCTGTTAGGATTTCTGGGAGTTGAAGGCCAAAACATCTGGGGACCCACAGGTTGAAAACCACTGCACTAGGGGACAGAAAGATAGGCCTTCATTAAGGCTTAGCAACTCCAGGCTGAACTGGAGCGATGTTCCTTTGTGTTCAGCTTTCAAAGTTATCTCATTTTTATTTTTTATGCCAAAATTAACAACCAGATTAGATGGTACTTCAAAAGTGGTAGGTGACAAACTATTATTGCTTTCCTTTTGGGACACAGAAAAATTCATCACCACACATATCAGGGTTTATATTCAAACTCGATCTTGTTAATCATTCTATAGTACAATATATGAAAGGATGAACCAGATTGGGCCTCACCCCAATCCAGTTATGTGTTTTAGTTCACAAGAAGGGAAGGTGATGTGATTTCTGATTTCTGCCCAAAAGCAACAGAAACCTCCCAATATCGCTTTCTTGGGACCATACCCTAGCAAACAAATCTGCTAAAAATGATGCAATGTCATTACTATCATCACCAGTTTGGTTCAGATGCTGCTAGCAAAGGTTATTTATTTTAGCATCTTTGGGAGTGGGATGTGGCTTGCAGGTGGGGTTTGGGGAGGATCAACACATAATTGCCTATGCTTATCCTGTCTGATCATTAGGAGAGAAAAAGAATAGATGGCAGCAAAAACCTGTGAGCATCACTTCTTATAGCCCATAGAAAAAAAATAGGTATCCTCCTTTCCCAACCAACAAGAAAAGAGACTAAAGATATTTGCATGTGAGTCTGTGTCTCATCCAGCATTTCTATATGCAAACCATAAAGATCTCACTGTATTCTGTCGCTGCTGGAGCTAAAATTAAATGCTTCTAAAAGAGGATGCAAGGCTTGCGTCCAGCGGGAAGCCCAGGAGCCTGAGAAAGAACTTTTAGAGGATTTTTTCCTATTAAACAGGCTTTAGGAAACTTAAGCTTAAATACAACGGTCTTTATTAAGGAACAAGCAGGAACTGTAAAATTTCTGAATAGTCTATTGCAGTGGTTCTCGACCTTCCTAATGCTGCGACCCCTTAATGCAGTTCCTCATATTGTGGTGACCCCCAACCACAACATTATTTTCTTTGCTACTTCACAACTGTCATTTTGCTATTGTTGTGAATCATAATGTGAATATCTGATATGCAGGATGTATTTTCATTCACTGGACCAAATTTAGCACAAATACCTGATACGCCCACATTTGAATACTGGTGGGGTTGGGCAGGGGGGGGCTGATTTTGTCATTTGGGAGTTGTAGTTGCTGGGATTTATAGTTCATTAAATCCCATGATCAACAGAAAACACTGGAAGAGTTTGGTGGGCATTGACCTTGAGTTTTGGAGTTGTAGTTCACCTACATCCAGAGACTCAAGCTAGGATGGATCTGGACCAAACTTGGCATGAATTCTCAATATGCCCAAATCTGAACACTGGTGGAGTTTGGGGGAAATAGACCTTGACATTTGGGAGTTGTACTTGTTGGGATTTGTAGTTCGCCTGCAATCAAAGAGCATTCTGAAGCCCACCAATGATACAATTTGGTCAAACAGAATCCCCATGAGCAACAGAATATATTGTGTTTTCTGATGGTCTTTGGTGACCCCTTTGACACACCCTCGCGACCCCTCCAGGGGTCCCGACCCCCAGGTTGAGAAACACTGGTCTATTGGCTTTTGCAGTCTTGCTTGCAGGAAACAGGCACTGTCTTCAAGAAACTTTAACAGAAAAAATCCCCTTTAAAGCTCCTCCCAGGCTGCTGTGAACTTAAACCTGACTGGTTTGAGTCTGCTGCTGGCTGAACTGCGTCTCAGAACCAAACAAACGTACCACAGGCTTGAAATCACTTAGCTGGAGATGAAGAGCTGTTATTCCCTCCGGAGGTCCTCAGGGCTGTGAAGCTGTTCCCTGGAACCCTTTGGGAATCTGTAGAGGCCTTCAATCTGTTCTTCCCCAGGAAGTCTTGAAAGACGAAGCCTTTGCACAGGAGGAACGTCTGTACGCATCCTCTGCCTTGGCTTCTCTTGCTGTGACTAACTGAAAAATGGCCCCTTCCCTCCAAAAAGCAAAAAGGGGGCGGGACCAGGGATCCTAACTATAATTGGCAGGTGGCTTGCCCTATGAATGCAGCCAAAGGAAGCCACCTATCTGCAAAGTCCCTGCAACTTAGGACTATGAACAAACACTCAGTGCAAAACACAAAATTGGAGCCCCTGGAACAGCCATTCCAGAACACACTGTGTGCATCACACAAGAACATTTGACAAATCTATTGTAATTTCCAGTAACTGCCCAAGCTAGACATCATGAAGAAATCTAAACATTCAAAATACAGAAAGCTTGTGGAAATAAGACAGGAGAAAGAGAGAGAAGGAGTAACATTTTACAATCTCACCTCCGGGACAACAGGAATGGGTTTCTTCTTATCCATTTGTTTCGGCTTTAAAATCACTTTGTCGACTTCAAGCATCCCAATGGGTGTATTTGGTTTGAATTTGATCTGTTTCTTATCTACTGACATCAGATCTATAGTGTGGCTTGATGGATTTAAACGGTACTGTGCACAAAGATATACTAGTAAGTCCATCATTGGCTTGCTGAAAGAAAAGTGAAAGTGGCTATACATTTCATTCAAGCTTTTAGATCTGAAAACAAACATTGCATAAAGCAGTTCATGTAAAGTAGGTGCTTTGAAGACTAATCTGTTCCAGTGGAACTCAGCAATCCTTGAAACTGTCTTTGCCTACACATACACACTCCTACACATTTTTCTAGCTATTCTGTTGACTTTGAGAACAGTCATTTTAAAAACACTCACCATACCTATAGTAACAGAGTTGTATGACAGAGTTATATGCCAACTGATAAGACTTTTCCATCTTTCAACTCAGAAGAGAGATGATTACTATATTTTCATGGAAAAGAAAAGTGTTGTAGTAACTGAATTTGATCACAGAATATTTGTCATAGGAAGTTTTCCCATACTTACACATTCACATTTCAAGCTAAAAGAAATTCTACCAAATGAAATTAGCTGAAATTTACCAGATTAAATATATGATAGTACTGCATATATAGGATCGGGCTGTGACACAGCTAGCTGGGAGCTAGCTGCATTAAATCACTACTGACCAAGAGGTCATGAGTTTGAAGCCAGCCCGGGTTGGAATGAGGTTCCGGCCATTAGTCTAGCTTACTGTCGACCTATGCAGCCCGAAAGACAGTTGCATCTGTCAAGTAGGAAATTTAGGTACCACGGGGAGGCTAATTTAACTAACTAACTAAATAAATCTAACTAATGAAACACTGCATGCCTCCCATCACTATCTTTCTGTACTTAATACTTTATCCCATTTGTTTTTATATTTGTATATACTTACTGTGTGAAAATTATTCAAAGACAATAACAAAATGTAAATTTCCAGTATAAATGTTTGGCAATATTATATCAATAATTTACATCCTGGAAATTTTAGTATTCTTACTTGCAAGGCTTAACAATACCTTTTAGAGCATTTATCATAAAGTACAATTACTTTGCAATATCTTTCATATTAACTGAGTTGGTTTACATCTTCTTTCATACAGAAGGAACTAGTCTCTTGATCAGTCTATATCACTTGAAAGCTAACTACTTGCTTTCACTCTTGACTCATCTCAAACACAATACCCAAGAATAGAAGAACACAAAGACATGTGAAAGTTGTTCTACTAGAAATATAGTATTCATTCTGTAAAATAATAATTAAAATATTTTTCAGTTTGTTCCGACAGTTGATTACTCAAAGTGAATATTCATTTTCAATAGTAAGTGCATTCATAGACAAACCCAGATACAACACTCACAAAAGGCTGTTTCAAAGAGGAATCTGAATACCTGTACAAGATTTTACAAAATTCTGCAGGAAGTCTCAGCAACTACAAAAAACGGCATTCCTACTAGGGTTAAGCTTTTGAATGGTCTTGTGCCACGCAGAAGCTTTACTCTGTAGCTTTAAAGTTGCTCTTAGGTCAAACCTGATCATGAATAGCAGAGATTATGATGAAATAATTTTTCCACTTACTAATTGGAACAGCTTACACAATGTCCCCCTCAACTATAAAAAGGGCCTTGTTGAATGTGAGATTCAACAAAACATTTCAGCAAACAACACAAAAGCCCAGGATTGTTGCAAAAAAAAAATACATTCCTTACTTCTTCCTCAGGCTTACTTTTTAAGGGTGAACTGCTGTTTCTGTGAGCTGCATGTTGACTAGCAGATCTCGTCTCCTATATTACTAGGTTTTTTAGTTGAGAGTTTACAAACAGGCAAATCATGTTTTATAAAATGAATAACTTCAGCATGAAAAGGGAGAAAAAACAGACAAATCATTTAATATTTAGGAGATGACTTGTGTTTACTTGCTTAAAATACTAGGACACAAATCTAATTCTTAGTGATTGAAAAGCAGAGAACACCCAGAGGCAACTGAAAATGAACAAAATGTTTTCTTTGCTGCTTTAGAATCTGTTCAGTAGAGAGGAGCTAGTACCCCATCCACCATAATTGGATCCCTACCATGTGTAACTTCAAAGTTTTGTTTTAAATCTCAACAACTGTATTACTGTCAGCTTAAGTACTACTCATTTTTTTTCCTTTTGAGAACCTAACTCAAATTTAAAACTGAATTTTTCAAAATAGGCCAGGTTTTGTTCTGTCTGCACGCTTTGTTCTAATTTTTTTAAAAAAACATGATCACATTTAAAGAGCAGGGTGACACACTTAAAAGGAGACTTTCTGGAAAAGTTTAAAGCTGAGCTTTAAAAATTATCTTCAGTTTCATTTGTGTATGTATAATATAAATTCAGATACCTCCTCAAAATGGCAGCTTTTTATCCAAGTCCTGGAAACTCAAAAGAATGCATGCATGAGAAAAAATATTTATAAGCCTCCAGGGAGAGCTAAAGTAAACTCCTAAAGCTTGAGAATAGGAGACTTATGTAATTCCTGGAGTTGCCATTAGAAAAGTTCCATGATCACACTGAACTAAAGATGATTACTGAGAAAATTTATATACTGTCAAGTCTAATTGAGAAAATAAGTTTGCAACGTATATTTTTGTAGATTCATTCTACTTCATCAGATGCAAGGTTGTTAGAGATATTTTTAAGTATTGTCATTATTTTTTTTTCTTCGGGCCACATGACTCCTTGTCACTTTCAAGCTTGCTTATAATTACATGAAAGAGAAATCTTACAACTGTTAACATCAAGAAACTCTTCCTAACCTAGATTATTGCCCAGCAGGCCAGCTCCATATGGCTTTAGTTTCCTTAAATGGTACGTACCCTGAGGTCTATCTACATTATATACTCATGTTTAGGTCTAGACTGAGCTTGCATAACATGTGGCCCTCCAGCTGTTTTGGCCTCCAACTCCCAGAATTCCTGGACATTGGACAAGTTGGCTAGAGCTTCTTGGAGTTAGAGGCCAAAACAGCTAGAGGGCTGCAAATTGTGGAGGCCTAGTCAAAAAATTAATCCACAAAACCCTGGCTCAACTTATCCACGGGTCAATACAAGTACTGTGATCAGGAGGGGCTGGTCCCCCTGAGGTACTTTCCCTTCTCCACATAATGGCCCTTGACTTATCCACGTATCATATCAAAATCCACAATTTTGGAATCCAAACCTGCTCTTGACTTATGCATGAGGTCAACTTACACATTGTTATATACAGTCACTTGTGAACTACGCATTTCCAAATGAACATCTGGAAGCGTTTGCCCAATGCATGTATATATACACACAAACCTATCTCAGTTCAAGGTAAATAATAGAATCATAGAGTTGGAAGAAACCTTGTGGGCCATCCAGTCCAATCCCTTGCCAAGAAGCAGGAAAATCAAACTCAAAGCACCCCCGACAGATGGCCATCCAGCCTCTGTTTAAAAGAAGGAGCCTCCACCATGCACATGCAAGACACATGTTATGTGTCCTACTGCATTACAATGAAAACATACATGAAATCCCACCAACTACAGATCTCCTTCACATAAAAATCCTTTAAACATACTGCTTGCTATTGTATCTTCTTTTCAAAGCCTACCTGGCGTGAGAACTACAGATAAAACTCTTTTTCGGAATTCTACCCATCATGGAAGCAAGATTGGGTGTGACATGAATTAGGACTCTCTTAGGTCCTTTCACACAGGCAATTAATGCAAACCAGAAAGTGGATTATAGAGATCCAGTTTGCTCTGGACTACACCACACAAATTGGATGCAAGCTGCAAAGGAGTCCACACAGAGCCACCAGATCTCTATAATCCACATTCTAAGTTTCTTACCTCCTGCAAGAGACAAACAGCTTTCCCAGTCCTTGCTTCAGAGGCTGTAAAAGCTAGCATTCCCATGGGAACACTATGCTTTCATTGCCAGGGTGGGAGGTGTTTCTTTTTCTTCTGGTTGAACTGTGCAATTGGGTTTTTTTTTTTTTAAAAAAAATAATCTGATATTCAGATCCTTCCTGTGCCTACACACAGGAGGAATCCTGTGGATCATATAGCTGGAATCAGGATTTAATTTGATTACACTGATTTTAAGTTAATTCACATTGGAGATCGCACTGGGAGAGAACATTATCAAGACTTCACACCACTTCAAGCCACAGTATAGTGCCTATGTGAGTAGGGACACTGCTGAAATGAAGTATTGAATAAATTACAATATGAAATTTATATGGCTCACCTTTAACAATTCTCCACCTTGTAGGTCCTTTTTTAAATTCTGCCAGCCTAATTGGTCATATAATTATTTTATAGGAAAGATTTTATCTATTCTGTTTTAACTCCATTGTATTTTGTTTGATAGACTGGTTTTGTGATTTTAAATGAGTCATTTGTAGTCAGTGTGCATTTAACGGATGTGACAAACTTCTCATAGCATATAGATACAAAAAAAGTGTTTTCAGAAATTCAGGTTTGAAGTAGTAGTGGTATATTTCAACTCTAAAACAGCATGATTTCTTTCTTCAACTTACCTGCCATTAACAGTTGTTGACTTGATCACATCCCCGGGAAGAACCACGGAAAGCTCAATGTCCCTGTCAATTATGTTTTCTTTTTGTTCCATAGTGTAGTTAGTTAATTCCGAATCATCAAAAGAACCATCAGTGATCCTTTTCTCCAGTGGAGGAAGGGGAGCTTTAGGCTTGGCTTTCCGTCTGAAATAAAGGAAGAAATCCAAAACAAAGGGATTAGAACATAAAATTAAATAAGTGGAGCAATCCTGGATTCCAGACATGTGCTGGCTTCCCACAAAAATTCCTTTAAAGTTTGAGACAAATATGCAGTCTGTGAGTTTCAAATGCAAAGGAAACTGTGTCATCCTTGAACTTGTTCAATCTCAGGTAAACTCCTCAATCAAATCTAGCAGCCTGGATAAAGTAATTAAATAATTCAGAGCCTGTTATGCAAAGTGCCTAGGAGGGAATGATTTCCTGAACAAATTTACGGAAATCTTTCACTGTTAATCACTTAATCTCATATCCTCCCCTCCCTACCCGGTCACTGATATATACACAATTACATGTATTTACAATGCTACAATTTAACATTGTTCAAAAAGATTTTATCTAGATATTCATTTATTGTAACTGAGAGTTTACATCTGCATGTACAGGATCCTGATAAGAGAGACCTGATACTGATTCTTTGACTATGACCAGTATGATTTTAAAATTTAATTAGATATATCCCACTGCCTAGAAGAACAGCTAATAACTAGAATTGTTCTGTTAGCGATAACCATAACCACCATCATACAGTGTTCAGTTTCCCCTTTGTATTCAACTGCCATGCCAATAACTCCTCTGGAAAGTTCCCACAAACTATGGAACTGTTGTTGGGACATCTGGCAAACAATGTAGAGGGTCACAAGAGCCTAGATATTGTAGGCTATGTTTCAGAGGAAGGAACTGGCAAAACCATCACTGAGCATTTCTTGCCAAAAAAAAAAAAAAGCCCTATGAAACTCATAGGGTATAAGGCAACAGGCAACTTCAAGTTACATATACATACATATTGTAATAGTTGCTTCTCAATCTATGTAATTAAGAGTAGTAAAATGACACCAAACATGCAAAAATGGATTGTCTGTCACACACTCAAGAAGACAGAACACAAACAGAAGTAAACCACAAAACTGTGACTGAAGAAACCAGATGTAAAAATTAGAAAATATACAGTCCAAACATAGAATAATATTTTGACTATGCGGAACTATAACATCTAATCACAATGTTTGCCTTCCTCTTCAGCTCACCATTCCAAAGTCTGACAAAATCCAAATACAGGAGGAATAGAGGCAATCCTGTGCAAAGAACAATTATCCATTCCTTCCGTGGCTGGCAAGTCCATTGTGGGGAAATATTATTTTCCAACCATTGGAACAACTTTGATGTTGGGAAGATGCAGCAATTTCTCCCATGCCAACACATCTACTGCTAGGTGGAATGCTGTTGCAGCAGAGAGGAAATCAGCCAGACCAGGAACATATCAAACAAACAGAAAGTGAGTACCCAGTCCAAAAAGGCATGCAAAGTGGTGCTGAATCATTCACTGTGTACTAATCCAGTCCTGTCATGCAAAGAATTAATCACAGCTTGAGGCGTGTGTGTGTTTAATCTGACTGAAGATGTGGTGTTTGTTACAAAATAAAATCTGGTAATGCGGAAAATTTATTGAAAGAGGATTAATAAAGAAGGATGGAAAGTTACCTCCACAAGAGGAAATGAAATTTTAGACACAAAATATAAAAAGAAGTGGGTCAGGGGGAGGGCAGCATGGAGGTGAAGGATAGAAATACATATATAAGAGTAAGATGTGCATTAGATATAATGGGATTAATGGGGGTGGGGAAGGATTAAGTGTCCAGAATAATATGTGTCTGCTGTATTATGAATGTATTGCTTTATTTTACAAAAAAAATTAAACATCTGATAATGCTGAAGACTAAAAATATCAAGTCTAACCTGTGTTCAGAAGCCTGCAAATCCCTATGGTCCACCATTTGTAGAGCGAACCTTGTTAAAAACAACAATAGCAACAATCAAAATATTTCAAAATGTGATATACTATGATTAGTTAAACACTAATCTCACATTTTACTTTATTTTTATTTTTATGTCACATGTTTTGATATCAGTACTCATGGCATACATTTGTTGCTGATGTGTTGAGTTATGGTGGCCTAAGATAACTCTATCATATGGCCAATCTTGTCAAGATTAATTCACAGGGAGTTTGCCTTTGTCTCCCTCAGAGGTTGAAAGTGTGACTTCTCCAAGTTACGCAATGGGTTTCTATTAGGGATGTGCAAGTCAGGTAAATCCCGTGCTATCTTCAGTGTCCCAATTTCGATCCGCACTTCCCTTTCCATTTTTTGGGAGCTTCCCGAATTCAGGAGGAAAAAATGTCGAAAGATCCATTTTCACTCCAGGAAGATCTGGCCCTTTGGCATCAATGGGGGAACATCCAGGCTCCCCTTTCAGTCATTTTTAGGGTCGCACTTGGAGGACATATTTACCACTGTCAGCCCCCAAGTTTCAGAACATTTGGGTCATGCACTGGTTTTTAGGAAATTCTTTAAAATTTCTAGAAATAAAATCTCATTTAAAAGAAAACCCCAAAAAGCTATCCCCTGGCCCTATCCTGTAATTTCTCCAGTTACAGATAAGAGCAGCAGCAGGGCACCATTCCTGCCAAGTGCCATCATAAAGATCCACAGTTCCACATATCCCACAATTTATAGGAATTTTTAAAACTTTCTTTACTAATAAAAACAAGTACCAACTTTGCTATTTAAGTCAAAAAGCAAGACAAGTGATGCAGAGCTACGAACAACACTAAAAAAGATCACCAGTGGACTGGAGCATGATATGTCTCTCTCAAAAGTCTGATAGCAAAAAGAAAAATGGAGGCACTCATTTATGGACACAGCTTGGCTAAAAGACACACCATGGCTTCCTTCTGTTCTGACTGGCTCAACAGGCAGAGCTCACAGGGAAACCCCATGTGTGGCTTCCTCTCTGCACTCCATATGTATCCAAATGAAACAAAAGTAGTCGTGGTTGGCAGCTGCGTGATCTGTTGTGGATGGAAAACAATGATGGCGGCGCCCATGCCATTATGGGTGAGCCAGCAAGCAGAAAGAGTCGGATCATCTGGACTCCATTTTGAAAAATGGATCTGTGCACAACCCTAGTTTCTATGGTCTACAGAGTGGTACTTCAACATGCAAACCATTGCACCACACCGGCATGCTATTTAAATACTGTATATACAACTTAAGAATGTTCCTTGTAGACATGGGCACCATCAAGAAATACTGAATGAGAGGCAAGGTGCATGTAAGTCTGATCCAGAAGAGTTGCTAAGCCACATCTAAGACTACTAATGCTGCTAGCAAGAGAGCAATGTGAATGTATAAAAACTGATCCCATCTATTACCTGAAGAGTACCCATCCCTCTGTCCTTGGGTGTCCCAGACTGTAATAGCAGGAGATTTGCAAAAGTATCCCAATCCCTTTTTGATACAGCATTGGCAACATATAGCCAACCACCTTGGAGGTCCACAGGTTGTGTGACACCCTTAACACTAGTCTCAGAAAAAAAAAAAAACCAAGTGATGCAAGTTTACTTTTTCTTTAAAAAACTGAAATATCAGAACTGATCAACAAAATGCATCAGCCACAGCCAGTTTTTACAAAGCTCCCCCTCAAATAACTAAGTTCCGTTAGCCAGAACATCTTCCCTTTCAATAAGTGTTCCCAAATAAAATCTAAAGGACCACTGCTCCGTTCCAGAACATTCAAGCCTTTGCAAGGGAAGTTAAAAAGCCAAGCATGTTATGTATGTATTATTGTTATTTGGTTTATTTGTTGATTATTTGATTTTATTTATATTGGGTTTATTTAGGTCTTGACTCAAAGTGGCTTACAATATTAGGGGAACAAATATGTTGCTACAAATAATTTACAGAAAGTTGACATAAGAACAATATTTTGCTTCATATTGAAACAAGATGAGGAATTTAAAGAAGCCAAGACAAAGAAAAGTTGCTTTTATGCCTGTCTGTATGTATAGATCGATAAGATGGACATGTGTGTTTTCCTTCTATATTGTCAGTGTTGAACCAGAAGTTTATAAAGTAATCAGAGGTGTGCCTTTCACAGACTACTCAGTTGATATGTAGCACAAAGAACATCCTGATTATACTAGGTTAGAGCAATGTATGACACACTTTTAAACCGCAAATAGGGACCTAAATTATGTGAAATTTCAGCAGTTATATTTGGTAGTTATGTTTCAGTAGTTATATTCAGTAGTCATTCCAAAAGAGCATGGGAGAGCGAGTGACTAACACATGGGAAATGAAGCAAGCAAACTCTAATACTCTGAAGCCGGTTTTTCTAACTTCATCCTGTATTTTACATTTAAAGGGTATTTCACTTAATGAAAACAATTTGTCATTTATTGCTTACAGAATTCCTGGGTATTATTTAGACCCCAAGTTTTCGCTTTTGGCCCCAATCTATCATGGCCTCTGTAAATCTTAATGCTCTAAAGAAAATCTCCTGATTGTAAAAGCTGTTCAACAGTGGCGCTCTCTACCTCGGAGCATGATGTAGTCTCTTTCCTTTGAGGCTTTTAAACAGAAGCAGGATGGCCATCTATCAGGAGTGCTTTGGTTGTGCTTTTCCTGCATGGCAGGGGGTTGAACTGAATGGCCCATGTTGTCTCTCCCAACTCTATGATTATATAACTATAAGGGGCACATGAAAACAGCGCTCCTGGGTTTAATAAACACACATGAAGTACAGCATCCCCTTTCTCATAGTGACCAGTTGGATTCTTCAGAGCATACCACAAGCAGAACATAAAACAAAGAGCAAGAGCTTTGGGGAATGGATGAGGAGGACATACAGTATTTTGTTAGACTACGATTTCCAGAATCCCCCAGCCAATGTAGGGCACATCTACACTGACTGCTTCAGTCAGTTTCAAACTGGTACTGCAGAAAGTGGTTTTGCTATGCAGATGACTACATAGGCAATCTTAGAGGCCTGCATGGTGATTAAACAAACCACAGGGCATTGATGTGCATTAATGGCCTTCTTGGATATTTGTTGTCTAGCTTTCACAGTTAAAATCACAGAATCAT